TTAAATATGAATATATAGGATTTAGGTGAACATCCATCATAAAACATGGAAAACAACGTATTTGATGAACCTAATAATGGTCATCAAATATGCCGATTTTAATTTTTTATGATAGATGTCTATTTAAATCTTATATATTAATATTTGAAAGTAACAAGAGGTTGGGAACAAGATGGCGGCGGGAACTCTATTGTCGCCACTGTATGTAAAGGTTTATTTAGCCACTGTATAGTTTTGCATAGACCATTACGTATGGTTATGCGCCATGCTATCCGTTATGCAAAGTTGTCTGGGATGGCCTTAAGGGCCGATACTTTTGCTCTCTATTAGGGTGGGTATTATAAAACTGCTTTGACAGTTAACTTGAAGTTAACTTTTTGAATTACATGTAATTCTAGAAGTTAACTTTAAGTTAACTCTCAAAGCAGTTTTATAATACCCGCCCTTAATGAATTTGATATTTCGTCAAAGTTTTGCATGGGCCAAGAACTATAAGTATGATATGGTTAGAGTACATTCAAACCCGTGATTATTTTTAATGGCTGTCAAATGAGAACTAAAGTACCGGCACTAAAAGTATTAGGTTTGTTTCTGCAGAAATCACAAACCAGTCAGAGCGAATTTCATTGGTTGAAAACAGTCAGAAACAGTCAGAAAACTAGTTTCAACCAATGAAATTCACTCTGACTGGTTTGTGATTTCTGCAGAAACAGACCTATTATCCGGTAATCCTGAAACCTCTTGTGGTAGGTATCCATTTTTTCAAAATGGCCGACTTTATTTTTTATAATATAGGCTCGTTCAATAAAAAACATTTAACGTGGTTTTTCACATTTTTATGGAGTATTACTCACATATAGCACATAAAAAAAATGTCAGCTCAATTGGATAAATATTAGAAAAGTTACGCGTTTTTTAATATTAAAACAGTTATGTCTCGGAAATTCATTGCTGTGACGTCATAGCATCTCTCGAGTCGAGACAGGCTAAAGGCCGTCATACACGGTTTCGCATAACGTAATGTCAACTGATTTTCTATTGACAGTTTGGCACACAGTTTGCGAAGTTATACAATATTTTAAATTTTTCTTTTTGCATGCTACTTCCATAATTGTGCTTATAAAATACTGAAACTCAGGGAACTATTCAAATATACGAAATGTGGTTTGGAAGAAAAACATCAAACCTCTACCAGATATAAAATGCCAAACTAAAACTTGTCTAAACGATGCCAAACCAAAATTTGTCAAAACCACGTCAAAACAATGCCCGTATTGTCGAAGTGACTGGCGTACCAGCACCGCGACGACCGACGTGAGAGATGCAGTGACGTCACCGCGTGTTTCAAATTTGGAGTACTTTGATAATCTATTTAAATATGAACAAGGGCTCAGAAAATTATGAAATTTTGCATAACTGCTAAGCTCAACACGCTCTTTTAGAATATGCAATAAAAAAAATATGCTATACGAGCCTATTAGCTAGATTCGGCTATTCAGCGCGGAGTTGGAGTGGAGTGAACAGAGCTGATGGAGTCACCCCTAATACGAATACGGTAAAAAGCAATACCCGAACCTTAACCCGAACGGCTGGAGTGCGAATGGAGTCACTCGGAGTGCACGGAGTGAGCAAGCCGAACCCATCTATTGTAAAATGGCATATTTAAAAAAAAAAGCTCATTAGGAATGTTCCTTGACTTCAAATAACACTTACTAAAATTTTACACCGATAGAAAATAGCGGCTGGTGATTACAGTAGCTCTTTGATTGTGGCCAACTTATATAAAAATCTAAACCAGACACCCAACCATAACAATGATATTTTACTTCGCATATACCTCGATTTCGATTAAATTTTGGGTTAGAGAAGTCGAAAAAGTAACTACCCGTTATTTTGTACCCGTTACTTCCCAATGCTCGAAGTAATGAGTACCGAACCATGAACTTTATCGTTACTTTGAATATTTTTACATTTTGATAACACGGCATATTATGGAACTTACCGCTATAATCGCATAGCATATCGTATTTCGTCTCGTTTTCAAATATTTGACAACCATCAGAGCCTAGAGCATGTGTGTATTTTATATTGTAATTATGGTTACAAGTATTTGGATTTACTGATATTTGTTAATTTTTTTGGATATGTTTTGTTTATTTAGTTTTTTACTTCTTGGGATTGTGTTTAAAATAAAATTAAAAGACTCTAATGATTAATAAAGATGGAGGTATTGCAGTACCTAATTAACATGATAAACGATATTAACAATAACAAACCATGCAATATCAAAAATATACCAACCTACTAATGCAAAGTAACGAGTATTCGAAACGATTACTTAATACCAAAGTAACGACTAACGGGAAGTAACGAGTAGTCGAAAGTAGGTAACAAAAATCGACATCTCTATTTTGAGTAGGGGAATCCATTTCTTGTGATAAATATCATACATGTTGCCATTTTGATTTCAAACGCCATTTTTCCAATATAGCGGCCCTAAATTTGAAATCAACGATTTGACACAGTCTTGAACTATAGCTCATAGCTTAATGGATCATGTTACAGTGATTCTATTACCATAGTGGCGACTTCTTTTTGATTGGTTCCTTATTCCATATATTTATATGGAAAACGCCGCCATTTTGTGCCCCTTGCTATCGGTACCATATTAGCATAGCGTCTGAGGCACGACAAATTTCTAATATATTGTTTAGATACCTACAATACTAACCTGATTCACTCAAATGTGAGTTATTCTCATTAATTCAAAAACTACACGTTTCAGGTGTGTCTTATTTGAATAGGTAATTCAACAGTATATTGGTGAATAGATGGCTGCGGAACTAGCTGCGCAGTGCGCTCGTCCCGCAGAGGTCCATCTATAAGTATTGCAATAATCCACTTATTTGTATTTGAACAATAATTTATTATATAAAGTCAGAATTGGTAAGACTATTCACTTTTTGTCAATTTGCCTTTCAACAGGAGTTAGTAATGTTACTTTACCAAATTAGTAACATAATGTAACAAGTTATTCAAGTACAAACGAGTAGATTGTTGCGGAACTTATGGGTGAACCCAGCCATCTATTCACCAATATGTTGTTCAAGTGCAAGTACAATACTAACCTGATTCACTCAGTTATGAATTTATTTTCTCATTAGTTCGAAAACTACTACACGTTTCAGGTGTGTGTTTTTTTGAACAGTTCAACTGTATATTGGTGAGTAGATGGCTGCGGAACTCGCTGCGCTCGTCCCGCAGAGGTTTACCCATAAGTTCCGCAATATTCTACTTATTTGTACAGGGTGTTTTTTATATATATTGACACCTTATCTACTTCCTTTACCTTTGGAGGTAGAAAAAAGGTGTAAATACAAAAGTTGTACAGTTTTGGCTGAATTTTCAAAAACCATGGTCAGAACAAAATTTGAATGTCAGAAATGTGAAATTTTGTATGCTTCCAGCTTTTTTCAAATGGGATGCCCTATATTTCATTCTATATTCTTGAAGAGCATATCCCCCGATTCCAAAAATATATAGTTTTTCTACAGTGTGTCCCGCTTAAGGACTGACCACCCTCCTAAAATTGTTATTTTTCAACCGATTCAATTCATTTTTTTTTGTCTTGTAGCTACTCGAATTTGGCACTTATTAAGCTCATAATTTTATTTCCACAGCTACACTGGTTTACAGGGTGTCCACATTTATAGGCTCAAATTTCAATAAGTAGGTAGTACTATTAGGGATTTTTTTAGAAAAAATCTGATAGCAGATTCTTGTTTAGAATGGTCTAAAACCCTAATGTACGAATTTTTGTTCCAATAGGATACAGGGTGATCACAACAAATTTTCAAAATTTAATGGACCAAACCGGAAAAATTTCATATTTTGAGGCCATGAGAACAACAAAACTTGATACAACATAGTTCTAGAACATCCTTAACCAAAACTTGTAGTAAGCTTGTCTCAAAATGTGAAATTGGAACAAAAATTCGTACATTAGGGTTTTAGACAAACAAGAATCTGCTTACAGATTTTTTCTAAAAAAATCCCTAATAGTACTAATTGAAATTTGAGCCTATAAATGTGGACACCCTGTAAACCAGTGCAGCCGTAGAAATAAAATTATGAGCCTAATAAGTGCCATATTCGAGTAGCTACAAAAAAAAAAAAAAAAAATGAATTGAATCAGTTGTAAAATAAAAATTTTAGAAGAGTGGTCAGTCCTTAAGCGGGACACTCTGTATATTTGATTGAACAGTCTCTTATATATTCGGCTCCAAAAATTATAAAAATACTACTCTGATTTTGTGAACCATTCTACCTGTACAGGGTGGCCCAAATTCGAGCCTCATCATTTGGATCTCGGTAACCGTAAGAGATTCGGGGTCGGTTAAATTATGGCAAAGTTGCGCAATTTTATGACCAATAGAATACCGTTTTAAAACTAGAAATATTCCGAATACTTCCGGAGATATTCGGAAAAACCCTAAATTTTGTAAAATCGTTTTTATTTTTTCCTGGGCTTATTTGAAGAGCAATTTCAAAATAAATGTCACTTCATCGTTGTCACTTTTTCCCCTTTAGAAGATGGTGCTACTAAATTTAAAATTCGACGTTTCGTCTTCAGGCGGCCATCCTCAACTTCCTTTTTTTAAATACGAACCTGGATTTTTTATTTGCGATTTTGTCATCTTTGGGCATCCTAAAACCGATACTGTTTATAATTTTCCAATAACACAGTAAAAAAAGCAGGTCCGTATTGTATTTAAAAAAATAAAAATTGATGATGATTCCAGAGGAACGAAACGTTGGATTTTAAATTTAATACCGCCATCTTGTAGAGAAGAAAAAGTGACAATGGGAATGTAAAATTAGTTTTTCACAATCCTCTACTTCCTCAATCAACGGGTTTATTGAGTCACCATACTCGAAAATCAAGCGAATATCCGAATATCGATTCAAGCGCCATCTATCCGTGCACTAGTGACATACCATGACAATTCTAAATTCCATAACCTTCTTTTTTTGTTTTGTTTTAAAAATTTCAAATATTCCTGCTGATTCTGATCCAAAATGTGGCGTAATTTATTAGCAATACCGCAAAATCTAATTAAAAATGCGTCACAAATAACTAAAACATTTCCCAAGTGAGTATTTTAATTGATGACAATTTTCCGTATACTTAATACATGAAATCTAGGCAAATATCCACTACAAACTCGCTGTCGATGTTCATACAAACCCAAGAAACCCCCAACCCAAACAGCCTGAAATTTCTACCAGGCGTTCAAGTTTTGGACAACGGACACACCATTGATTTCCCCAAGCCACAAGATGCTTTTTGTTCCCCTTTAGCTAAACTACTATTCCGTATTGAGGGCGTTAAAAGCGTCTTTTTAGGCTCAGATTTTATCACTATTACTAGAACAGATGAAGAAATTGAATGGAAGATAATTAAACCGGAAATCTTTGCAACTGTTATGGATTTTTTCGCTAGTAATTTGCCTGTGCTCAATGAAGCTAAACCTAATCTCGATACTCGTAAGATTTTTGAATTTTCATTATATTATTTATTAAATAATTATTGTAGAAATTAATGAAGATGATGATGAAACAGTCCAAATGATAAAAGAATTACTAGACACAAGAATAAGGCCTACTGTGCAAGAAGATGGAGGAGATATAATTTTCATGGGCTATGATGACGGTGTAGTAAAATTGAAAATGCAAGGCTCTTGTTCCAGTTGCCCTAGTTCTGTAGTCACTTTGAAAAATGGAGTGCAAAATATGCTACAGTTTTACATACCCGAAGTTGTAGCTGTTGAACAAGTTACCGATAAAAGTGATGAAATTGTTGAAAAGGTTTTTGAGGAAATTGATAAGAAACTTGATGGCTGAAACTCAACAAAAACAATAATCTTTATTATTATCATCTTTTTGATTATTTTTTTTTGGTTTTGTCTCTAGGGTAACTTCTTGTAACCAATTATTGTCTTCGTGCCTATCAGGATCTAAGTCAGGCAAAGCCTCTGCAATCCTCTTAAACAACTGCTTAACATTATAGCTGCACTTAGCACTAGTTTCAATAAACAAAACATCTAATTCCTTAGCTAGTTTTTCAGCTTTTTCTGTTGGTACTTCTCTACAACTTTCCAAATCCACCTTATTACCAACCAAAACCACCACTACTTGATTGCCACGTTCGCTCCTGACATCCTCAATCCATCTCGTTGTCAGCTCAAAAGAATTCAAGTTTGTGATGTCGTAAACAATTACAGCCACTTGTGAATCCCTTATGTAGGAAGGTATTAAAGATCTGAAACGTTCTTGGCCAGCGGTGTCCCATAATTGCAACCGGACTGTTCTATCGTGAAAATAAATGGTTTTCGATAGGAAATCGATACCGATTGTGGCCTGGTAGTTTGGATCGAAGCTGTCGTACATGAAACGGGTTATCATTGAAGTTTTACCGACACTTTGTTCGCCTAGGAAGACTAATTTGTACTTTTTTAGATTGTGATTAGGGTTTTTTGGCGATAACGTTATCATTTTTTTTAAATTAATTTGAATTTGGTACTCAAATTTCAAATGTCAGTGTGACATGCGTCAACAAACCATCTTAACTTTGGAGATTGTCCTTTATTTTTTTCCAAGATAGATTTTGGCATTGTCAACTTTGAAACATAAACAATGCCGCTAATGCCGCTTATTGGTCGCTATTGTAAAATAGATGTCAACCTGCAGAAACACCTCATTTTGCCACCAATCAGGGTCAAGCGTTATTGTTTATGTTTCAGAGTTTTCAAAATCTATCTTGGGAAAAAATAAAGTCTATTTTTTCTCAAGATATATTTTCACATTGTCAACTTTGGAGATTGTCTATGGTCTATTTTTTCTCAAGATAGATTTTGACATTGTCAACTCTGAAACATGAACAATACCTCTTGGCCCTGATTGGTTGCCAATTGAGGTGTCCTTGCAGGTTGACATCAGTTTTACAATACATGTCGTGCAAATGGTATCTTGCGGCCAATAAGCGGCATTGTTTATGTTTCAAAGTTGACAATGTCGAAATCTATCTTGGGAAAAAATAGACTGATTTCGGAACTATCGAAAGCAGAGGCTGAATCACTGTAGTAGAGACTAAAGTGCGTTTTTTTTTTTAAAGATAAAAGTCAAACTGACATTAGGTTGGCAATACAATGTAAAATTGTCAATGTTTTCAAACTTTTCTTTGTGTTGCCAACATAGTTACTAAATTTTTGACTTGGGAAATTATCTTTAAAAAAAAAACGCACTTTAGTGCTTATAGCGAATTCTATTAATTAATATTTATAGCGTTTTTCATTTGTCGAACCAGTGCAAAAAAAATATATCCTTTTCCTTACATGTTGGATGCTTTTAGAAAAAGATGCGGATACACTCAGCGCGTACTGATTGACAAATGGAAATCGCCATAAATTCAGTGCGTAATGTCCGTCGTTTTTAATCTGACACTTTCTGTATAAAGACTGAGGGGGTAAAGCAGCCAAAACAGGTGTGACGTCAGGTGACCATTGGCATTCTAATGTGGGGTGCCACTAGCTTACATTCCTTCGGAGTATCAGATTAAAATCAACGGACTTTACTATGGAATGATGGTTTAGCATCAGGTCGAAGATTTAATGATACTGTATAATTTGGAACTAAAGCAATCCTTTTCCCAAATAGGTATTTCTGAAAACTCTTGTGCTATTTTCTCCACACTACTCACTTAATCTGAATTTAAAGTACATCTTTTGAGCCCTTATAGGGGTACCGGGGTGATTGTCTATATTTTACACCCACACCTATCTCACCTGTTTGAAGAGATACCTACCCAGAAATGTCAAATGTGAAAGTTGTAAGTATTAAGTATCAGAAAGTTTTCAATGATGTTAGTTACAAGTATACAGGGTGTATCACAAAAGTGTGGCGAAGCAAAGTTATACTTTTTTAAATGGAAAACCCTGTTTATTATTGTCCCATTGGATTAGCCTGCTTCCAAACCTGAATCCAAATTTACTAGGTTTTTTACGTTTATTCTTCATAGTCCAGCCTCTGAATATCCCATTTTGAAAAAAAAAATTTAAATCATTTATTTATGCCTTGAAAGAGTATTCCCCAAATATTATTCCCTAAAACTCAATAATAACTTGGTGAAAATTTTTTAAAGTTTCGCGCGTATTAAAAGCATTTCAAACGACTTTAAATGCGCGCGAATCTGGATGACGTCACGTAGTATGATTTTGGATTTTGCGTCACCTTGTCGTCAAACTTTATATCACAAAACATCTTTATATTTTACTTCATTGTATTTAATTTGGTTGACTTCCACATTTTCCACCGTTATTTGTTTTGTTGTTGTTTTGGGGTACGGCGAGCTGTAAATTTTTAAGTTATAATGGAAAAAAAGATTCGCACATACTTACTTTTGGTACTATAAACATATCACGAATTACAGATTGGCGGATTGGCCTTTGGAATTTCCTTCTTCGGTCATAATTAATAGGTATATCGTTTTATCTATATAATACTGAGCTAATCATTGAATTTAAACTAAGTAAACCAATTCTAATAATGATAAAATTTTAAAAAATCAGAGAAAAACGTAAATAAACACAGCTAACGGGTATTTATTATGTAGAGTTCGAGTAAATGCTCGGAGTTGCTATTTTGTTCTTTTATCCCTGTTCTTCTCATCATAAGGAAAAAAGACGGAAAATGCTCCGAGCGCTCCGTGTTTCAAGACGAACTCACGGTATGATGGACGGTTGCTGACAGACACTAACAGATCATACTACATGACGTCACGACCAGTACCAGAGCGTTTTTTCCCGCTAGAAATAATTTGAATTTTTCCGCATTTTCAATTCCTTATTGTGGCCGTTTGTGCCAAAAAAAAATTGTTTTTTTCGCTGATATAGGTTTTAATTAATGTATTCTTATGATTTATAGTAATAATTTCATGTTTAAATTTTTTGTCAAGTTCCCTATTATTCTACCCTTTTTTTGATCCTATTTTCGCCTGAACTATTTGGAATCAAAGGCTAATCCAATGGAACAATGATATACGGGGTTTTCCATTTAAAAAAGTATAACTTTATTTCGTCACACTTTTGAGACACACCCTTTATACTTGTAATCAACATCATTGAAAACATTCTGATATTACCTACAACTTTCACATTTGAGCATAAAAACATTTGAGTCATTTGACATTTCTGCGTATTTCTTCAAACAAATGAAATAGGTGTGTGGGTGCAAAATATAGACAATCACCTGGTAATCCCTGATGACGAACTCCCTTTCTTGTTGTAGTCTCGTTAGACATGTTACCGTCAATTCTTACTCGAGCTATCTTGGACTAATAGGAGCTGTTGTATGAGAAATATCAGGGTGTCTATTCTCGAAACCAGGGAATAGCGTTCTCATGAGGAAGAAGGTTCTGTCTTAGTCGCCCATATTTATATTTCCATAAGACTGACAAAGATAGAGCAATCATTCTCGTGGGAACGGTGTTCCCCAGTTTCGAGAATAGGTACACAGGTGGCGAGGTGAGGAACTCCCATGGAGAGAAGAATTTCTCATAGTTTGGCTCACTTTACGTTGTCAAATGCGAGTATAGGATTTTCACGCTATATTTAGGATGACGTCACATTTAGTAAATTTCTGCTGCAAATCTAACAAAACTAAAAGTACTTCTTAACGCATATAAAGTAGGGGAATTTCAGATGTTTCTGGTTGGCAACGGCGCGCGATGTTGCATGATTTAAATGAACATTTTCAAATAAATAACCCGTGTCGATTCATTTCGTTATTTTTAGCTGTCGGTGGTCTTGATAATTCATTATGACATTCTGGTAAATTATAAGAAAACAAATAGGCATTGACAACATTGTCAGTCCTTGTTCTCTGACGTCATCCTAAATATAACGTAAAAAACCTATAGTCCACAAAGTAGGTATAGACTGGAAAGTAATGCTCTCTAGCCTTTTCAATAATCTACTCTTAGTTCAAGCTCTATTCACGCGTACCACCGTTGTCCCTTTATGAAACCTGCTTGCTCTGGAGATATTTGCCATTCCACAAAACCCTGACTGCAGAACATACACGCATAACCTTGCTTGAATGAGAGTGAAAAATACGATGGGAAAAATTTAGGCTGTCATCATCCAAGTACTTCAGAGCTTCAGCAGAAAGGGCATCAATACCTATTGCCTGGTCGCTTTATCGGTTTTCAGTTTCCTAACGGCATGTTCTATGTCCAAAAAAAGAATATTCTGCTCACATTCGTAATTGAATAAGGGAGCTTGATGTCCACATCGGAATAAAAAGTTCTCACAATATGTATAGTCCAGGAGGTGGCGCCAAAAACATGCAAGAGTTTTCGCAAGGCGGATATTTTCAAAATAGGTCGTACTTTAGTGCTAGAATGCTAGTGTACAGTCAGCACTCACAGTTCCGGGACAGCTGGCTCTGGGACGCGGGCAAAGTTGTAATTTTAAGAAGCATCTAAACTGTTTTCTCAAAGCTCAAAATTTATAGAAATTTTGCACATTATCTGTTTGAAGGTCACAGATAACGTATGTAAATCGTCAGACGTCTAGTTCGTTGCAAAAAGGGGGTTAGACGTCCTCAAAGTTTTTATTTTATGGCATTTTCTTCAAATATATTTGTCAAATACCTGCAAAAATATATTTTGACAGGACACCGAAGAAAATGCCATAAAATAAAAACTTTGAGGACGTCTGACCCCCTTTTTGCAACGAACTAGAGGTCTGACGATTTACATACGTTATCTGTGACCTTCAAACAGATAATGTGCAAAATTTCTATAAATTTTGAGCTCTGAGAAAACAGTTTAGATGCTTCTTAAAATTACAACTTTGCCCGCGTCCCAGAGCCAGCTGTCCCGGAACTGTGAGTGCTGACTGTACACTAGCATTCTAGCACTAAAGTACGACCTATTTTGAAAATATCCGCCTTGCGAAAACTCTTGCATGTTTTTGACGCCAGCTCCCCAACTAGTACTATATACCTACACTGGCGCCGACTACATGGGGGCATCAGGGCAGGTGCACCCATGAGCAACTTCTCAAGGGTGCGTAGCACCCATGGGAGCTCTTGTGGGGAATGCGGAAGTACAAACGTGTTTGATGGACATTCCGTTTCGTGGGGTAATATCAGTATCATGTAATTTAAATTTAAAACTACCCAGCATGCCCCGTAGAGATTTTGGACCTCTTGGATATTTGGAGTGATCGCAGGAACCAGGAACGTCGATGACTTCGGCCAGAGAGGATCGGCTCTTGGTGTAGAGGTCCTGCGCCTTTTTGTAGAAGGATTGGCGAGGATCCCGACCGTGGAAGTTTTGCCGTAGTTTGAGGGCTTTCTACCAGCCGCGGCGCCTAAAGGGCCCGCGCCAGGAGATGAGTGATTTCCCCATCCCTTTTCCGAGATTTGACCCCGAATTGCTCGGAAGTCTAGCTTTTCAAGGCGGAATCGAATTGCTGATCATTTCCGGTCAGTGTCATTTGAAGAAGAGTTTCCGAATGACGTTCGCCGTTGTTGTTGGAATTGAGGTGGCCGCGGAAAGTGGCCAGCTGCACCAGAACTACCAGAAGGTGATTGAAAATGCTGGTTATGCTTCCCGGCTCTCGGTTCAGAGTTGCCACTCCCTCCTGATCGACGTTAAATTCGTCGGTGAAGTCATTGACTGGAAGGGGAGGTGGCATCAGTGAAGCAGCTGGGGGGTTGTTAGGTGGTGCGGGGTGCCGGGTGGTCATCTAATGTCTGCCCAGCGACTCTGTGTCTACGGGGCAACGGTAAGGGGAATGCAGTTGTAAAAAAAATGGCTGATTTCATTCATAAAATACCCAGTTGCGTGCGGAACTTTTTGGAAGTAATATCGTATTGCAACTGGTATACGAAAATCGACAATGACCACACCCCCGCCACTGGATATCTAATATATAAAATTCTCATGTCACAGTTTTAGTTACCTTCGTCCTCCGAAACGGCTTTACCGATTTTTATGAAATTTCATATGTATATTCGGTAGGTCTGAGAATAGGTTTTAAGCTATTTTTTATACCCCTATCTTTGGAAAATGTTTATTTTTTACAAAACACGGAATAGAACACGATATTTTTTTCTTCAGGTGTTTTGTTCGAGAAAAATCTCAATTTTCTCAAATATTTTGATATGTTATCGAACGACCCACCAACTAGGTATTATGTCAAATGCAATGAGTCAAGTCAAATGATCTTTGCGTTGCCATGGCCAGGGATGTTCCAAGGTGTACAATTGTGCATATTATGCACAATTTCATCTCAATATGCATAATCTTCATAAAATATATGCACAATTTTCTTTCACAATCCAGCCAAAATAAAATTATTTTCCTTAAACAAACTTTTGGCAACCTCGCCTTAGACGTTGGTTGTTGGTTGTGGTTACTCAACTACTCCATACTACCACTACAGGATAACCTATCCTCATAAGGCCAGTGTAGAACAAATCTGAACCTCCCACCACGCCAAATCACCAGTTGTGACGTAGGCAACATATCGTTTCTCGCTTTGACGTAGGCTGTTTGCACCACAGGTTATGATTCCGCCTCTTAACTTAACTATACAACCGTTGGCGCAAACAGCTGACGTTGCTGATGACTTAGCTATAATGATGTCGGTAATGGTGGTGGTAGCAACTACCAATTAAAAAACGCACCTTCTGTTGTTAGATCTGACATCTGACTAAAGCCTATCACATGTTACCAATTAAAAAGTTGTGCGAAGTAATGGCACTGCAAATTGTACAGCCATAGAAGCCATTAAACAACTATATTTGGAGACGAGATCTCAGATTAAGGTTGGCCAAACAGTATCGGAAGAATTTCCAGTGACTTAATGCCTACGGCTCTTTTCGAGTTGAATAAAGACACCAGCTGCGACAACCCAGTCTTTAGAAACCCGAGGCACACCAAATGGGACCTCTTTCGGGAGGAGCTCACAGGTGGGCTCTCGGATATGCTGGCAAGATATAACCTTCCAGCCGACATTGAGATTGGGATAAACAAACTGTCTAGCGCAACTATCCGAGCATACGCCGCCGACTGGGAAGCCTTTCACGCAGCCCAAAGGCAGTACAAAAAGGCACTCAGGGATTCAAAAAGACAGAGCTGGAAGCGATACTGCAGGGATGTTGAAAAAATATCCCCGCAGCAGCTCGCCTCTGCAAGGCTATGTCAAAGGAACCCGGTAGTAGAATAGGGTCACTGTCTCTTCCGGGCGGTGGATTCACGACGAACAAGAAACCCTGGAGGTCATGCTCCGCACGCACTTCCCGGGCTCCAGCCAAAACAACGCTGTCTTGGCCGGCGTTCGGGCCCCTATTAGCACCGGGCACGACACCGCCAAAAAAGTAGTAAGTTATGAGAGGGTGATATAGGCGATTAAGTCCTTTCCCCCCTTTAAATTTCCTGGTAAGGATGGAATCCACCCTTGCCAGCTGCAAAACGCGTCGGATATCATCAAGACTCTGGAGAGGCTACTGGACCGGTATGTGAAACAAGGCATACTGGTTTCCAGACCTTTACACACCCAACAATACGCTTATCAGACTGGCAAATCCACAGAACTGGCCTTGCACCACCTGGTCAGGAAGGTGGAAGAGAATCTGGTGAGTGGTAAGGCCAGTCTAGCGGCATTCCTTCACATTGAAGGGGCATTTGATAATACCCCTTTCAACATCATCTGCGGAGCGCTCGTAGGGCGTGGCTTAGAGCCGAGTCTGGTGAGATAGATAGAGACCATGCTCTCGCAACGCCGAGTGTCCGCAGAGCTTAACAACGCGGTGGTTAGAGCGGTGGCCGCCAGAGGCTGTCCGCAGGGTGGAGTTCTATCCTCGACTCTGTGGTGCCTGGTGGTTGACGACCTGATTACTGGCTTAAACAGGGCAGGCTTGTATACTCAGGCCTACGCCGACGACCTGGTTATCCTTTGTCCGGGTAATGACGCCGTCTCTCTGCAGGGCCCTATGGCAAGGGCTCTGCGCATAGTGGACCGGTGGTGCCTTGCGGAAGGACTCAAGATAAACCCTAACAAGGCGGAGCTCCTACTCTTTTCCAGGAATATATATATGTGTGTGGGAGGAAACCCAGTAGAAGATCTCTCACTATACAACAATTCAGCTATACATGTTGCGAGTAATATACATATCTTAGAGTGAAGATTGATAGCATGGGAAGAAGTGAAAAGGAAATAGCAGAGAGAATAACAAAAGGCAAGAAAGCAATTGAAGCATTAAACTCTGTATTGTGATCGAAAAATATCACGCCCAACATTAAATCCCTAATATATACCTAATGCTATTGTGGAGAGCATAATGTTATACGGATGCGAAGTGTGGCAACTTAACCAACAACAGCAAAACAGACTGCTATTCACCGAAATGTATTTTTGGCGAAGATCAGCAAGAATATCTCGACTGGAACATGTGAGAAATGATAGAGAGTTCGCCAGATAATGAAAGTTAAGAAAAATGTCACGCAAAACGTTGAAGCCAGACAGTTGAAATTGTACACGTTCACGTCCAAAGAATATCTCCAGAAAGAATTCTCAAGTTGGTAATGGAATGGACTGGAAGAAAACTATTATAAAATAAGATAAAACCTTTCAAATTAAAAATAAACCCGACCAAAAATTACTTATAATAGAAACCAACTTTATTTCAAACAGAAAAAAAAAACTCTTAAATTACAAAATACTTTGGTACCCTAGGTTGTCTTTTTTTGTTTTAAAATTACACAATAAATAATCCTATAATTTTTAAAAAATTTAGTGTAGAAAAAGTCTTGTGGGCAATGTCTTTTAGAAAAAAACTTAGAAGCATTTGCGGTGGACGATTCCCGGACCGGACTCGTCGTACTCTTGCTTGGAAATCCACATTTGCTGGAAAGTAGACAGTGAGGCCAAAATAGACCCACCAATCCAGACTGAGTATTTCCTTTCAGGTGGAGCGATGATTTTGATTTTGATAGTTGATGGAGCCAACGCGGTGATTTCTTTTTGCATACGATCAGCAATACCTATACAAAAAATTAATTAATTTTGTCTTATTTTTTTTTATTTTTTAGAATTTACGTTACCTGGATACATAGTGGTACCACCAGATAGTACAGTGTTGGCATACAAATCCTTACGAATATCGACGTCGCACTTCATAATGGAATTGTAAACGGTTTCGTGGATGCCGCAAGATTCCATGCCCAAAAATGACGGTTGGAACAAAGCCTCTGGACACCTGAATCTTTCATTTCCAATAGTAATAACTTGTCCATCAGGTAATTCATAACTTTTTTCCAATGAAGTTGAATTAGCTGCAGTTGCCATTTCCTGCTCAAAGTCCAAAGCTACATAACATAGTTTTTCTTTGATGTCACGGACAATTTCTCTTTCGGCTGTAGTTGTAAACGAGTAGCCTCTTTCAGTGAGGATTTTCATTAAATAGTCGGTCAAATCGCGACCAGCTAAATCTAGACGCAAAATTGCGTGAGGCAAAGCGTAACCTTCATAGATTGGTACTGTGTGGGAGACACCATCTCCTGAGTCCAAAACTATACCAGTGGTACGACCAGAGGCGTATAAAGACAGGACTGCTTGGATTGCTACATACATTGCAGGTGTGTTGAAAGTTTCAAACATAATCTGAGTCATTTTTTCTCTGTTTGCTTTGGGGTTTAGTGGAGCTTCAGTTAACAAAATTGGATGTTCTTCTGGAGCAACTCGCAATTCATTATAGAAAGTATGATGCCAGATTTTCTCCATATCGTCCCAGTTGGTTATAATTCCATGCTCAATTGGGTATTTTAAGGTTAAAATACCTCGTTTGCTTTGAGCCTCGTCTCCAACGTAAGAGTCTTTTTGGCCCATGCCCACCATGACTCCTTGGTGTCTCGGACGGCCTACTATGGAAGGAAACACGGCACGAGGTGCGTCATCCCCTGCGAATCCAGCTTTACACATTCCTGATCCGTTGTCAATGACCAGAGCTGCTACGTCATCGTCGCACATGATGATTGATTGGGATTAATTTGGCTGCAATTAGAACGTATTTATTTTCAGTGCAAGAAGAATGCGCTATTGAATACCTATATAAAAGGCTATTTTTAGAATTAATTACCTACAGCTCTTATAGGATTACGTTGTTAATTGGTTTAAAAGGTCGATTAATTTGTGTTGTGTGCAACCTAGTTTTAAATTGTAATAGTAGAATACCTACTATACTGATAAATCCATTACTAATTTGAAATTACAGTACCTATGATGTAGTTGAAAGAAAATTGTATTTAAATGAATTATTAGGGCCGATTTTTCAATAACAAGTTGGTTTTAACTCCAGGGTTTAGTTGCTTAACCCAAAAGGGAGACTTGATGCTTTTGAGAAACCGGCCCTTAGAATTTAGAAAAAAAAACAATACATTAAGATAGACAAATAATAGAGATTAAATACCTATATACTTACCAAAAAAACAAATATATAAAAAAAATCACACACAATTAATTTGGCACTTTACAATAAACAAAATATTGTATATTGTGACTCGGTCAGGTGAAACGTGTCGAGTGAAAATCGCAATCGAAATGCGATTTTATTTATAAGAGTGTGGTCCCGAGGGAACGGTTTTGAGCGCACACGTAATGACGGCGCCGTCCCATAAAAGGCGTGAGGGATGCAGTTTAGCGAGTCCCCCTCCTGATTCAATTAAATTATATTGTGATGTAAAAATCTATTTGTAATTGATTGGAAATTTGTTTCGAGTCCTTATTTGGTCATGCGATATTTTTGTCGCTGGAAGTTGATTGTTTTGGAACTTAGCAAAACTTTTTGGATTTTTCTATGAAGAAGTCCTTCTTTCTTAGGATTCTTAGATTTCTTTTATGTATTCTGTTTTTCTTTAAGAAAATTCTATAAATTTTCTGATTCTTGCCTCATGATTTTCATAATATTTTGAGTCAATATTTTGACAACTTCTTAAGTTTTCTACAGGAAAGTTCTTTTGCTCCTTAAAATATTGAAATCCTATCAAGTTCTTAGGACCCTTGGATTTAGAATCTTTTTTTTTTCAAATATTCTATATTTCTTTGAGAAAACTCATCAATGAATTTTTTAATGTTTGCCTCAAGATTGAGTAGGTACAAAGTCCAATACCTTAAAGGAGCACCGTCTTCTACAGTAATCATTTTGCCTAAAGACATGTTTAGGACTAATATTTCGTTATCATCATCCATTCTATAGCTTTCAATTTTTATCTATTCCAGGCGTTAAAATCTCAAAAATAATTCTGAGGAATTTGAATTATTCTGAAGCCTTTCGAAATGGCTCTGTCAAGTTGGCCCCCCACATTCGAATTTTCCATTTACCACTTACTGTGCTCGAATGTGCCGATGATATTTTGAACTGTGCCGTTCCGATACCAAAGCTATAAGAAAAACAAAATAAGGGGCTAACTTTGACGCTTCTTAGCCCCCCTCAAAGTTTTGGAAATCCGATCAACCAAAAATGAATTCTTAGGCAATAGGAAGTGTGCTGAACTGTGCTGTATTAGGTTTTTCTCAAAATTTCCATATTCGGTCGACAAAATCCTACTAGGGAGGCTAACTTGACCCTCAGCCAATTAAATTTTCGAAATAAGATGAAACTAAAATGGATTCCTATGCAATCTGAAGTGTGCTGAACTGTGCTGAATCAGGTTTTTCTCAAAATTTCCATATTCGATCATTTTCTGACAAAATCTTACTGGCGGGTAACTTATTGACGCTCAGCCCCTTGCCAAGAAGACGCATAACCTTGAAAATTTTCAAAAAAAAGGCGCTGTTTCAATATTTTGGATCCGTACCAAGGGGGCCGCTAGATAATTCCTATTTTCTAAAAGTGGGCGGTAGGTCAAAAAAGTTTGGGAACCATTGGTGTATACCATTCAAGAAAAAACAAATGCTTTTGCTGACTCTCTTGAATCCCAATTTTCCCTTAATGAAGACCTTGCAGATGATATTGATCATGAAGAGACAGTGTTGCCAGAGATGGTACAATTATACCAGGTTTGGTACCATTCGTTTTGAAAAAGTACGCTGCTACGACGTTGGCATATTTGGTACAATTTTCAATTTTTTAATTTTTCCCAAATTCTCAAAGAGTCTTAGCTTACTGCCTACTTAGTCTAATGTCGATGTTCTAATTAACTTGTATTTCTGTATCCAAATTTAATATAACAATAATTTTTGATTCGTAAATAGATGACGTCACCAATGTAACACTCGTTTTGTGGTTTTTGGTTGACATAGTTTGTGTTTAGTTTAGGTTTTCGGCAAAAAATGAAGAAAACTCAAAGCCTTGTACCTTAAATCGGTTTTCTTGATCGGAAAAGCGGAAAATCCAAAGAAAAACCATTGAAAAATGACATTCCAAAGCCTACTTGATGGAACTTAAGTTTTTGTTACTTACCCCGTTGAAAAACTCGAAATTTTTGATACAAAATGAAGGAAACTCAAAGCCTCGTACTTTAAATCGATTTTTCCGATCAAAAGCAGCCCAGAAAAGTGGAAAATTCGAGGAAAAACTGGATAAAAATGAAAACACGTCAAATGAAAATGGCCGACTGTCAAAAATGACAAATGATATTTATTACAAGGCCTCCTTGATTGAAGTTAGCGACAAGCGGTGTGGCCACATCAAAAGCATTTTAAATGGGATTTTGCTAATAATGGCATTTAAAAGTGGAAATTTTTGCTAGAAAATGAAGAAAACTCGAAGCCTTGTATGTTAAATCGGGTTTTTCCATTAAAAATTCCCGGAAAAGTCGAAAATTCGAGGAAAAACTGGCAAAAAATCACAAGACGTCACTTCAAAATGGCCGACTAAAAGCAACATTGCCACATTACATCTCGGAAAACAAAAATAACATTTTAAATGAGTTTTTTGTTTAAAATTCAATAAAAAAGTTGTTAAATAATTAATAAATAATGATTATAATAATTAAAATTCCCTAGATAAAGCACCAGAAACTTGTTTTTAGTTAAATGTCAATAAAAATGACATTACTAGGTTTACTTGTTGATTATAGTGAGAAAGACAAAGACAACGATAAAGTAGTACATATTTGCATAAACCACCGTTAAAATGACATTACAAGGTTTACTTGTTGATTATAGTGAGTAAGACAAAGACAACGATAAAGTAGTACATATTTGCAAAAACCACCGTTTTCTGAAAAAAGTAAAAATCTCAAGAAAACCCAATAGAAAACCAACATTCCAAAGTCAACTTGATAAAACTAAAGTTTTTGAATATTCCCAGCTCTTTGATTGGGCACTAAAAATCGCATTTTGAATATTCCCGTTTTTTGATTGGCTTCAAATTATCCGCTGACCAATAGAATTATAAACTGGGCCCCGTGATTAAAATAACTCCGCGGCCCTTCGGGCTCTCGTATAACTACGGCCCTTCGGGCCGGCTTTTCGGACCCGCGTATAACTCCGGCCCTTCGGGCTCGCATATAATTACCAGTTTTCCTGAAACCGGCCTGGAAAAGTGGAAAATTCGAGGAGAAACTGGATAAAAACACTTGAAAATGGCTGACTGTCTAAAATGCCAAAAGACATTACATTACAAGACCTACTTGATCAAAAGCGACGTTGCCATAATTACAATCTCAAGCATAATGTTTTTCCAGATTTTAGTGAGTGAAACAAAGAAGAAGATAAGGTATAGGATGCATTAGATAAAGATAAAGAGCGAGATAAAGTAGGAAACAATTTAAATGATCAGTTGGTCGAGCCAAATTATCATCAGAGTAAATTTTCGATTGTTCCCGGTGCAAACACTTGGAATAATTACTTAATTTTTGTTTGACAACTGACAAGCCTACATACAATATTATGACTTTTGACAATTGACAAGTTCATTTTCAGGACCACCTACGATTGTTGACTTTTTTTGTCAAGCATCAACGTTGCCACATTTTAACGGTAATTTTGGAGCATTCGAGGCTGATTGAAATTTTTAACTTTTGGCAACACTGTAACGCTAGAGAATTGAAATGACGTTTTTTTTTTTAAATCATGAGCCCGAAGTGCGACAGTTTTTTCAATCTTGAGCCCACAGGGTAACAAAGAAACGTCATTTTGTATCGAGTTTTAAAGAAAACAAGGCCTACTTTGAAACGTCAATTTTTTAACGTTTGATGTATCATAAGCAGTATTGTTACATGTTTTTTTCAATTCTCCAGCCTGAATGGCCGGGGTTGTTTTAACTACGTTACGAGTTCGAAAGGCCGAGGTTATACGAGCCCCAAGGGCCGGAGTAATATGAGTTCGTTCATTGTCAACTGATTTTAATACCCATTATGAATATTACAGGTCTGTGATGCGCTTAGATGTTCTGGGCCGCATGCGCGTTACACTGAAGGAATCAGCGTGTCCTCCCTGGCCGAGTGGCCGGATAACCCGCTCTGGTACACTTTTTCTTTAATTTTGGTACAAACAATTTTTGCTCTCTGGCAACACTGTGAAGAGAATCTAGACAGGCGCTACGGAGAAATCTGTAGGTTGCCTGTCCCTCTGAATGATACATTACATACATACATACATACATACATACATACATACAACTCCTGTCCCCACCAGTGATGTGCCTGTAGACAATATCAACGTAAACAATTGATTGTCTACGTGTAGACAATTCGAATTGTTTACGTGGGCATTTGTCTACACATTGTCTACATGTGACGTAAACAATAAACTTATTTTAGAAAATTTTAAAAAAAGTTCCAAAATTACTACTACCTAATAAGTAGCTTATACCTATCACTTTGATATATTAGCATTCACTGATTATAAATATGAGGAAAACCGATAATAAAATAAAAATAATTTTCGAAAAGGAAAGTGTGAGGTTAGAATTAAACGTCATTTATATTATTTTACATTGTTGACGCGTTGTCTACATTGTCTATATTGTCTACACGTAAAGTAGACAATGAAAGTCTACGTGTAGACGCACATCCCTGGTCCCCACCGACGACGTAAGATTCTTCATTACCCGTTCAGTCAGTAGAAAATCCTCTAGTTATAACGATATAGGTAGGTTACGCAGAGTTCTCTAAAACACTGGCGCCGACTACATGGGGGCATTGAGGCAGGTGCACCCATGGGAGCTTTCGTGGGGAATGTGGAAGTACAAACGTGTTTAATGGACATTTCGTTCAGTATCATGTAATTTAAATTTACACAACTTTGTATAAGAGTATACAAGTGGTATTAGTAGGTACTATGTCCTTTCGTTATTAGTGATTATTTCTTCCCAAGTAGCACATGCATGTTCCTGCGACTACGTATTAACCAAATACAACGTCGCCAGAAGTGCAGATGAGTGACCGTCAATGATTTTACGTTGAAATAACGTCGCGCCGTCGTCCTTAATATGTGGTCAGGATATCGGACCTTTATCTAGCTAGCTTAATTTTGACGTAATAAATGAAAACCAGTTTTAGCGTCATGCAGTATATAGTGTGTCCACTTAAGTTCGCAGCACATGGGAAACTTTTTTATTATCAATTTTACGAAAAAAAGTTATTCCTTATAAAAGTTTCCGCTTCTTGAAAAAATTATATTAAACTATTGAAACATGAAATAGCATGTACTGGACGTAGATGACGTCAATCCGTCGTCCTCTTGCATAATTGTGACCTTTGAATCGTTTTTCAAACGTCTTCTAATACGACCAATCATAAGCTAAGATAAAAATCGTAAATCGGACATAATATTGTACCAAATTCAATGTTGCATTGGAGGCGTCGATCCGTCCCTATCTTTATATCCTGTGACATCTGAAACGTTTTAAAAACGTCGTATGACACGACCAATCATAAGGTCAGATAGAAAAGGCAATTTCGGCAAGTTTTGGTTGGTATAACATTTGGTTAACCAATTGATACCTGCAACGTCATAGAAATGACGTAAAACACCATTTTATTCCGAATTCGTTTGGTAGGTCATGAGAGAGAGGAAGAGACGAACCTTAACCTAACTTTTTGTTGTTTTTCTAGTTTTGGGAGTGACTTTTTAGGTACTGACTGCACTGACTAAAATCTATAATCACTAATCAGCATTGTCTAGACAGTACCTTTGAGTAATTTATTAGCTAACTCAGCGTTTTCTGTAAATGTAAAGCTTATTCCATAATTCATTCAGCAAAAAAGTTACCCCATATCTGTCGTTCAAAGCCATTTTTCAAATGATCATTAAACATTATTTGGCAGTCAAAACATACGAGAAAACAGGACAATGAAGGCAAAAAAATAAATATATTTTGTTAAAAATTTCAAATTATTCAAATTCTAATGAACATATATTCATTTCTCAGAGCAGGACAAAACGAAAATAGACGTAGATAGCACTATACCAAATGAGAAGAACCGTGCTGCTGACCACGATATCCTATTTGACAGACCAAAAAGGATACCAAAGTCACGGTGACGACATCATTTTCCGTATCCGAAATTGGTTGGTATGCATTTGACAGACCAAACAGGGTAACTACCAAAATGTATCAAAGTTTGCCGAAATTGCCTAAAGCCTTAGGGTGGATTTTCATGCATCCGTTTGTCCGACGAAAGATGTCCGAAAAACATTCTATTCTGACATAATCGTATAAAAATATGTCAAAATAGAAGATTTTTCGGACATATTTCGTCGGACAAACGGATGCATGAAAATCCACCCTTAGAAAAACGTCCGCCCAACGTTTAAATTGGACACAGGTAAAATTTGGTGTAGTATTTCATACTTTTTGCGTCGTTCGTGAATAAACTGTCATCAGTGAAATAAAAACATAAACAAACAATAGATATGACATTCCTATGAAGAGGTTTTGAGAATTTAAATAAGTACGTATTTGCTTTTCTATTTTTGATATAAAACATTTACAGTTTCCTGTAAACTTTTAAATAAATAATGAGCGTTGAAGCAACTAAAACAAAGAACTGGTTACGTTAGGTTACCACATAACCTAGGTTTATTTTTGTATTATGGTCCTATGTTTATATAGATTAGGTCCATTTTCATATGACGAAAACACGCATTAAGTTAAACTAAGGTGCAGACTCGGTACGCACTAATGCGGAAAAGTAATATTTTCATGGCCTAAAATGCGTGCAAAAAAAGCACTTTTCGCGTGCTCGTAGAAAAAAAAATTTCGCCTCCTGCGGCGCCTGAAGCGTACTTTCCCCTCCCCCTATAAACAACTTTATAAAGTTATCACTTATATCCTGCACCCATGAAGACTTTCAAAAGTCGGCGCCTCTGCTCTAAAACCTTCTGAACAAGGTACAAGGTACAACTATACCTTCTTTCAAAAGTTTGTCATGAATATGCTTCTGCATAATCGGTGAAACCGGGTAGTAGCGCTGTTTTATTGGTGGAGATGACGTTTCTATATGGTGCTCTAGCTCTACTAAGGTAGTACAACCGCCCATTTTTGCAAAACATTGCTTGACCAAATCTTCCAATTTCTTGTTTTGCTCGGGAGTTAATTCGGATTTGGAATTTAAATTGTCTGAATTAACCCAAGTGATGGTTGTTTCAGTGGAAAATGTCCAATTGCCCATGCCTCAAGCCAGGCACAATTCCGTCAATTCCCATCTGTCTCCAAAAATCTGCACCGAGTATCTAGGTATGCAGCAATGTTGGTATTATTAGGAGCTGATGAACTTTTACTCCACTGCGATTGGCACAGATATAGATCGTATACTAAGACACTTATTATACCATCCGCAACGGTATAAAATATTTGATGTTCTTTATTCAGGGGCAAATTCAGAGTTTTCAGAATAGACCATCCAGGTAACTCTAAGCCTAAAATATTTACACAAAGGTAAGGTCTTTCATCTCCTTCAGCATGGGAGAGGATGAAATCCAGGTTTGTGTGTTAAAATTGGGGATAATTGTGGGATCACGAGACACTTCACGGCCCTTTAATGTCTCGGCCTTGCGTTTCCCGAACTGTAAGAGCGCATTAAGGACTGTATAATTTGCAGTGCCACATCGGAAGCAATATTTAGTTTTGGGCTTACTGCACTCCGAAGCTCGATGGCCACCAGCCCTGCAATTCCAACACGAGATTTCATCAATAACCACATCACCCACTGCACTGGTAGAAGTATTGCCTTCTTATAAATATAAGCTAAATCAGGTTCCATCAGTTTCTTATTTCTATGCGAGAGAGGAGCAAATTCTTCAATTGACGGTTTGCTTTCCTCTATCTGCCTTCCTAGATTAGTAAGGTGTTGAATGGACTTAAATGTGATTAAGCTCAGTTGACTTTGATAAAATGGTGAAATATTTTTTTATCAAAATCTTGAGTAGGTACCTACCAGAGCATCCACTACTGGACAGGTTAACCGTTTGAACATGTTGATGATTGTGGCCACATAGATACCCATCGATTCAGCTTTGCAGAAGATTAAGTATTATTTGCACAGGACTATGATGACCTAGAGTACCTACATGATACTTACACTGATAGAGGGATACGAGAAATGAGGTTTGGAAGTAAATCTAACTAAATGAAACAGAATATATGACTATAGGAGGTGAACAGCTAACTCTGAAATTGAATAACGGACAAGAAATAATAAAACAATGTACCAGATATTTGGGTATGAAAATCTCACATGAGGGAACCCTGGACGAAACAATTAAAGATTGGAATATACAAAAACACAAGGCAGTATTCCTACTAAATGGTGTACTGTGGGCTCAAAATATCAACAAAACTATCAAAACGAGAATATACAACATATAGTCACGTATAGTTCATCAGAAGTCTGGCCACTTAAGATCAGTTAAGGATGGGGGCTTTCAAATTTGACTTCCTTCTTCTTGTGAAAGGGACAAGGATTGTTTTGTTTGCGTTTAGAGATAATCCTTCGCCTTCGCTCCAATTTTTAACGATGTTTAGGGCACTTTACATTCGGCTTGTCACTACGCCTTTATGTTTGCCCTTGATTATAATGGCCAGGTCATCTGCATAACCTATGACCTGGTATCCAGCACTACCTACTCAGTTTAGTAAGAATTTTGTCTACCACCAGTGTTTATATAGTCCATTATGACATGTAAACTTTTGAAACAAAATTTGTTGAACAATCCCATCACAGTACAGTATTAATTATTATGAAGACGATCGAAAAACTCATTGATAAATATGGTCAAGGAAACTTCTTTTAAAGAAAAGCCACTAAACCAAAACCAACATGCCTATCAATTATATAGACCCTGTTTGCAGAAGCAATTTCATACTATTATCCTGTCTGTTTTCGATGTAGCTGTCATATCTCTGAAGAAGCCCGATACATTTTGAGTGATCTTTTCTCTCCTCCCAGGATTTTCTCAATTCTTTATTGTATTCTGTTAGGGTTCTTCTGTATTTACTCCAGTCGTTGGTGCTTTTAATCCTATTGAATAATTTTCTTGTCTCAGTCCTTAAGGCTTAAGGAGCTTGAGTGTCTTGTTCCACCAGGGCGATTTTCTGTCTACTAGGTACCCGTTGCTTCAGTTCTCATACGTGTAGTTATGAGGTTCTTTATTTCGTAAAAATAAAATTCTATATCGCCTGGTCACCTTCTTCTGTTTGGATAACGTTAAGAAGATCGATGCTTTTCGTCTTTATTTAGGCCCCAGTCGGTAAGTTTTGGGTGTCTATACAGGGTATACGATTTAAAACGAAACAGGCTAAATACCTATCTGATAACATTTTTATTTTTTTTTAAATCGCTCGTAAACGTAATTTGATTATGTGAGTGTTTGAAACATTTTCAGCACTAACTTAACCTTCTAGAGGCCGGTTTCTCAATAGCGAGTCACTCTCGCAAGCATAAGTCCAGGCAAACATAGCAACTGGGTGTACCCTGGAGTTAAAACTGAGCCAAGCTTTATGAACTACGGAGAATATGGCCCCAAGAGGATCCCGTTTGGATTAACCAATGCTCCAGCGGTATGCCAAAAATTGATCGACCAAATTGTGATCAGTGTTGACCTCGAACCCTATCTTCTTGTATTTGACGGATTCCTCCTCCTAAAAATTCCATTGAGGTCCGGCGGGTCATGGGTATGGTCCTAATTAACACTGTTACAAATTGGCTTTTGAGACGATTGATATATAGGGACAATATATTCGTGAAGTTAAAATAAAATGGTGAATGGCCTAGCATTGGAATGTGTGACTCTGTGTATAACTACTATTATAACTATAATAGAAAACAAGTTACACATGTTAATAAAATTAAGGTCTTTAAAAATTTTAAATAACAAATAGTGTTCCACAAGAAAGTACCTTAGTAGTACTGTTATATTGTTATACATTAATGATATTGTCATAAACTCCTATAATATGTTTCGTCCTAGGACGTCGCAACAGGACCGTGATCTAGGTGGGGGTTCAAGTAGAGAGTAAATTCACTTGCTATACGATAAGATATGTATTGATAAATAGGTATATTACCTACTCCATAAACAGCATGAGCGTGACATCTCTTCTACGGAGGGACATACTACTTAGGTCACTCTGTAGATTATGTGCAATCTATACATTTAGCGTAATATTCTGATATATGGGCTGATGGGTTTTGAGACAGGTCCAGAAGGGCGTTTCCCCGGTAATAAATCTCGGCGCTGACTTGTTTTTGTTGACACACTTTAATAAAATTGATGTACAGAGTGGTATTGTAGGTATTTATTATTTACCTAAGTATGAATAGTTGACAATATTGCTACTGCAGTTACAATAAGCTGTAACATCTATCTATTTGCTGATGGCACTGTACTGTATTTCTGTTTAGATAATTTGAAATATTTAATTGATATCATTATAGTTATTTATGTATCAAGGGAATTATGAGGGTGTTAAAACCCCAGGGCAAAGTTTGTGCCAATTGCCCGTGGGTATTAACACCTGATAATTCCCGTGGTACATAGATAATTTTATTTCCTACTGAATTTAATGTATTTTGTCCATTTTTATAAAGAAATAAACCATAAACTTAAATGTCAATTTTTTGTCAAAGTTCACCTATGCAAGGTGAAAGCGGGAGTTATGGAAATCCTCAACTCCCTTGGGAGTTATGATATCCTTAACTCCCTTGGGAGTTAATACCTTGTTCCCTGGTTATGATAATAAACACCCTAGATAAGTAAGTACATACAAAAAAAAATTCAAAAGAAATTTCCAAGGATGAGGCTTTAAGAACAACCCAAAAAATAAGAAACTTAAGAAGTTAAGTATCTCCTATATTTTGCATGCAAATTCACTTTAATTAATACATTCCTTTTCTACTCAATAGTCAATAGAAAAAATATAATTTTTTTAAAAAAGCTAAGAAGCAAAACAAAATTCATTAAGGGGCGATTTATTCACCTTCTGATAAACTGTTAGGTATGCAATCTGACAAAAAAAAAACACAATCTGTAATCCCATTGGTTTACTAGTTATCTGCTGACCAACAGAATTATAGAACAATGAATTTATCTTGCAATTAATTACCATCAAGTTTATCTGAAGATGAATAAACCTGGCCTAAAAGAAAAAAAAGACCATTATTTTGCTTTTACCTCAAGACAAAGGGTACATTCAGGCGGTCCAAGTGGCTAAGCTCAGCCACTCAGCAGGGATTTTATTCTCGAATCCAATAGCGTTTTCATAGAAACAATTGCTCTGTCATTATCAGTGTTATGCTGGATGACAAAGACAGAACCTGAAGTTCCCGCTGAGTGGCTGAATTAAACTGCTGGCACCGCCTGAATGTACCCAAAGATTTTTATTACATTTTTGATTAAAAAATGAATGTAAAGAGAGGCATTTATACAAGGCCTATTTTTACAAAAGTCTCTGATAGTTTGTTAACTATCAGAAAGCATCGCCCATACATATGTTTACAGTTTACAATGTCATGACTCCAAGATAAATTACCGGTAATTTAGCTGAACATTTGTTTCTGACCCAGAGACTCTTGTGACAACAGACCTCTAATTTAAAAATAAAGCATTAAAACTAGAAATACATTCGTAAAAATTATGATGCCCATTTTAAACATCTAGTGTCCATATGAGTCCCCATACACTTAAGCGAACAGTATCTAGTACCACAAGACAAGCAACTGTAGGGCCCCAAAAACCCGCAAACCGCGCAAAAACGCCTTTGAGGCAACTGAGACTCTTTGCACTGCACGTCCATGTACGAAGGACAATTTCTAAGCTCAGCTTCAGCCCTGTTGTCTTCTACAAGTTGCTGAAAGTTTTTACGGTACTTAAACTGGTAATAGTCCACTGTGCGCTCTTTTTTCTTATTTCTGCTGGTTCTTTGCTCTAAACTATTGTCAAATTTTGGTACTTTTTTGCTCATTACTAAATCAGCGTGCGGGTCTTCATGGTAGTTGTCAGATTCTAGGAGTTCCATGAATTTGCGCTGCCTGCGTTTGCGTTGAGAATCATCGATGACTCGTCTTTTTTCATTGTCCTTGATACGGTTTGAGCCCCTAGGGGCCCCTTTTAAAGGCATTATGGTTACTTTTCGGCCAATGGGAAGCTGATTTGGTCCATTAAATCATCAATTTTTGCTTGGAGGACGTCTAGGATGTCTGCGGAAATAAACAAATGGTTTTCGTCGAGGTCTTGGATTATGAATTTACGGCCTAGTTTTAGTGTTTCGTCTAGGTGCAGTAGGAATTGTTTCATAGCATGATCACTAAAGAAAATATTCAGATATACTTATTATCCCACAATCCGATGTCCACAGGTACAGGTAAAATGTATCACCTTTCAATGCTATTTGATAGGGAAAGGTGGTAAATTTACCTATACCTATGAACATAGGATATAAGTTTCAATTACATTTGAAAGTGTCTTACCATTTAACTAGAACTCCTTTCATAACATTTACCATTTTGATCAATGGATTTTTAACATTTTTTGGGATTACTCGTTTTGTTGACTTTTATGCTTATCGATACGTTACATCGATGAAGGTGCCTATCCAATATCGATACGAATTTGCCATATATCGATATGTATCGACAAAGATCGATACCTATGTATAGCTTTGTTTTCAAACTACGGGTTAAACCCACTTTTTTGAACCAGGTTCAATGTGACATCACTGGTTCAATACAAGAATGTACAGGTTCAAACCTATTTGAACCGGATCGAATCTCCACCGTGAGAAAAAAGCTCAAATCTGTTCTAAAAATTGATCAAAAATCTGTTCCGAACTCGTTTACTGTCAAATGAAACCCTGAACCAGATCACAATGAAAAAAAAATCCCGAATTAGTGTTCTAGAACACATTGAACTTATTCCATTTTTTTGTTCGTAATTCAAGGTGGGTTCGGCTTACTCACTCCGTGCATTCCGAGTGACTCCATTCGCACTCCAGCCGTTCGAGTTAAGGTTCGGATATTGCTTTTTATTAGAGGTAACTCCATTAGCTCTGTTCACTCTACTCCAAATCCGCGCTAAATAACTGAACCTAGCTCTAATTAGAGCTAGTTCCAAACTATCTAAAGTTCAACTAAAATCAGTTCCAAAACGTATCTTTGTGTTTAAAGTCCTGTTCCGAATTAGTTCAGGATCAAAAAATCTTAATAAAAGTGCCCTGGAACACATCGAATGTACTCTTTTTTTATTCGCAATTCATTTAACACCGGTTCTAAATCGACTCTAGAGTGATTTTAATTTGGAATAGGTTTGTTCGGACTCAGTTTAGAATCAGTTCTGAATTGAACTGCGCTTACGCATTTGTTCATATCGAACATACATATTACGCAGTTCAATTCAGAACTGATTCTGAACAAATTCTATTGTTGCGTTGTTCTGAACACACTGAATTGTTCGCAGTTCATAATTTTTGAACTGGTTCTCAAAATTTTGAGTAATTCTATTGCTGTTCTGAACTAGAGAAAATCATAAACTGGTTTATTATTAATTAATATACGCATACGGTGCATAATTAATGTCCTAGAACCATTAAACTGACAATAGTTCATTCGTTCCAGAGCATATCTGAACTGATTTTTAGAGTTCCGAGTAGTTCGATTGTTGTTCCGAACTAAAAAAAATGAACTAAATTATTATTAAATGCATACGGTGCACGAGAATCCTAAATTAGTGTACTGGATCACATTAACTATTCATTTAGAACCGATTCCAGATCATTTCAGAATTGATTTTTAGAGTTCGGACTGCTACAATTACTGTTCCGAATTCGTAATAAACTAAACTGAATTGTATTGGAACACATTGATTGTTCGTAATTCAATTAAAACTGGTTTCGAATAGATTTTGAAGTTTTGAACCTGTTCACAATCGAGCAATCTTTAATTTGTGTTCCAGAGCATTGTTCGCGGTGTAACTAGAATCAGTTCCAAATTGGTTTTATTTGTTCTTAAATTCAAAAACCTGTTCCGAACTCATTTGCGTTTATACTCTTCAATATTGGAACTTACTCTATTTACTTCAAAGTAGTAAAAAAAATACAATTTTGAACGATTTGCTTACTCAGAGCACTCCAAATATGGCAAATAGAGTAATTATCTTCATGTTTGAGTATAAAGAGGGAAAAAAATATAACTTTTTGATGAAAAAACCTACTCTATTAACTCTAAAACATTAGTACGAGTAAACAGAATTAAATTTAGTGCCCTAAAACGAGAATCTCAAACCAAATGGAGTAACTGTTAACGTTGCCCAATTAGCTTCAAACATAAAGAAACCTAAACTGGATCCAGAATTGGTGTTCTAGAGGCAACAATAAACAGAATTTGAGTGAAAAGTGTCGATTGGAACGAAATCACCTCTGAAAAGTACGCAGACATAACTTACAAAATCCGAAAATACCGGTAATGCAGACAATGATAAATAGAATTCTATTTTAGTTAAGTCATTTATCATTTTTAAAATAAAATTCTATCAAGGGAGTCTTTTCGTGGGGCGAATGATTCAAACTACGGTATAAATCAATTTGTAGATGACGTCATCACTCGTGAACGCAAGGAAATAGAAGATTTGAACACAGTATTATGTCAACGGAGAACAAGCTGAGAATCTGGTTCGAACTTTATAAACCAGATTCAATGTGACGTCACTGGTTCAACGCAAAAATATACAGGTTCGAACCGAATTGAACCAGTTCCACCGCGAGAAAACAGATCAAATCACAAAATTCTAAAACAGTTCCTCCTTCAGAACTGAGATAACCGTTCTAAAACAATCCCAGAATTGTTCTTAAATAGTTCTAGATAAACCAAAACACTGTCAACGTCGTTCGATTCCGATTCTAAAAAAACGAAAACGCGTTTAATAATATGCGCATGTGCAAAATAATTTCGAACTAGTTACTACAGCTGGATTCGGCTATTCAGCGCGGAGTTGGAGTGGAGTAAGAACTGAGCTAATGGAGTCACCCCTAATACGGTAAAAAGCAATACTCGAACGGCTGGAGTGCGAATAGTGTCACTCGGAGTGAGCCGAACCCAACTAGTTCTGAGTGAAACCAAAACAAAGCTAGTGTAACCAAACCAAAGTTTGTGTTGACAACGTTTTGAATTATTTCGAACCATAAAAAAGCAATTCTGGGATTATTCTAGAACGGTTCTGTCAGTTCTTGCTCTAACGAAGGAACAGTGACCGAGTTCGGAAAATAGCTCCAAGAGTAAGGTTCCTCTCTCAAACAATTTTTTTTTTAAAGTAATATCACCATGACGTCATAATTTCTTGAGAAAATGGTTTGAAAACATGGATTGGATTATATTTCGAAACGGTTTGAACAAATTATGACTTGACGTCATGGGTTAATCGCGAAAATGTAGTTTTTCAAAACAGTTTTGAACCAGTTTCAAAAAAGTGGACGCGAGAAAATGCTTGTGGTTAGTTCCACCGGTTCCAAGATTCAAGAAATAACCACAAGATCGAGACATGTGCAGTCAAATTATCTGTTCCGGAATTGTCTCGCGGTGCTTCAGAAATGATCGCATGCGCAGTTGGAATTATCAACTAGTAACGATTACAGGTCGATCTGAACTGGTTCCACCGGTTCCAGGATTCAAAAAATAACCACAAGATCAAGACATGCGCAGTTCGAATTATTTTTGTTCGCGGATCAGTAAATTACGCATTTTAGTTCCAGTTTTTTGTTCGGAATTGAACTATAATACAATTGACTCCGGATCGATTCTGAAATTGGTTCTAGAGTAAGAATCAAACGAGAAGAAGCCACACGCTTTATCGTTTGTCTCACTTTAAATGGGAGGAACCCAGAGAAAAGGAAATCTGCCTTTTTTGTCAGCGCTGACGTCAATGGCTTTTTCTCGTTTGATTTTTACTCTAACAAAAAAGATAAGTAATTTCGGTTCCAAATGCGCAAGTGCAGTTCAATTCAGAACTGATTCTGAACTAACTCCGAACAAACCTATTAGTTCCAGTACTTTGTTCGCGGTTCAACTAGAATGGATTCCGAACTGGTTTTACCGGTTCCAAAATTTTAAAAATAACCACAAGATCGATATATGCGTAGTTGTATTTGTTCCGAAATTGTTTCTCTGTGAAGATTCAGAACTGATCGTAACAGATCTGTTCCAACACACACTAAATTACGAATTTTTGGTTCTAATTCTTTTTTCTTCCACCGGTTGAAAAGAACCATGAGTGCTTTCTCGAATGTTTTAAAACCTTTTTCAAAACTGTATTACATGACGTCATACCTATTCGTGTTTCTGAACGATTTGAATTAAAGTTGATTGCCTGATAACTTTTATGACGTCATCTGGGGTGCTTAGACATAATGCAAATCTCCATTAGGTCCTCCTGATGACGTCAGCTAGTAACCATTGCCAGATGAATCACTAGGCAATTTTTCGCGAGGATTAACCAAGTATAATCTTTTGCTGGATTATGTGATGTGTCAATTGTGTCATACTCCCCTAACTCTGAGATACTCGAGAATCAAGAACACTTAATTCCTTCTGTGAGAACAGACCGAAAACCACCTTTTCTATATTTTGAAATAGACGAAAAAATTAACTCACTTGTACAGCTTAAATCGCAAACATTCCACCGAGGTCTGAAGATGACGTCATCACTATAAGTTGATAATAGTGACGTCACTCGCAGGCCCATAATTTGATAGAATCAGGGGAGTATAACACAATTGACTAATCACATAACTCGGCATAATAAAATTATGCTTGATTATCTTCGCCAAAAATTGCCTACTGTATACCAGACAACCTATTTACTTTAGGAAGCTTGGGTTTGAATCAATTTTGATGTGAAGTCATAAGTGTTTTGATAGAGTTTCAAGAAAGTGAACGCGAGAAAATAGCTCACCGAAGTTATTTCGGTTCCGCACACGTTTACAGCAAAATAAAATTCTGAACTGATTCCGGAGTAGGTTCGGATCCGCGAACAAAGCTTATACCTATATTTTTTATAACTTTGTTCGCGTTAAAAGGTTCGACTATTCAGCGCGGAGTGAACAGAGCTAATGGGGTCACCCCTAATACGGTGAAAAGCGATACCCGAACCTTAACCCGAACGACTGGAGTGCGAATGGAGTCACTCGGAGTGCACGGAGTGAGCAAGCCGAACCCACCGATTGATAAACCAAAACACTGTCAACACAGTTCGATTCCGATTCTGAAAAAACGAAAACGCGTTTCATAATATGCGCATGTGCAGAATGATTCCGAACCAGTTACCAGCAGTTCTGAGTGAAACGAAAACAAAGCTAGTGCAACCAAAACCAACCAAAACAAAGTTTGTATTGACAACGCAAAAGAGCTTATAAATAGATGAAAATGTTGATAGTTGTCACGTGTTTAACCTATTTAAAATCCCGTGTAAAAGAATTGTCACATCTGTGATGTCATTTTTGAAATCGCCATGTATTGGAAATTAGTAATTTGCGGCTTGTTTTGGGTTTAGTTTTGGTTAGTTTCACCGGTTCCAAGATTTAGGAAATAACCACAAGATCGAGACATGTGCAGTCAAATTATCTGTACCGGAATTGTCTCGCGGGAACACTTAATTTCTTCTGTGAGAACAACTACATTTGAAATATACGAAAAACTCACTAGTACAGCCTGAATCGCAAACATTTTATCGAGGTCTGCAGATGACGTCATCGCTATAAGTTACTGATAGTGACTTCACTTGCAGGCTCAGAATTAGATAGAGTTAGGGGAGTATGACATAATTGACTAATCACATAACTCAGCATATATCCTCGCCAAAAATTGCCTACTGTATACCAGACAACCTATTTACTTTAGGAAGCTTGGGTTTGAACCAATTTTGATATGACGTCATAAATTCATCAAACCTGTTTTGATAAGAGTTTCAAGAAAGTGAACGCGAGAAAATAGCTCACCGAAGTTATTTCGGTTCAACACACGTTTACAGCAAAATAAAATTCTGAACTGATTCCGGAGTAGGTTCGGATCCGCGAACAAAGCTTATACCTATATTTTCCATAACTTTGTTCGCGATAAGGATTCAATTCAAACTATGTCGTTCGCGGATCACTAAATTTCGAATTATAAGGGCGAGTTTTCATGAGCATAATCACGTGATAAAATGGTTGGATTTTATTGGTAAAATATTCGCCATGCTGGAGATTTTACCAATCAAATTACACATATTATCACGTGATTACGCTAGAAATGTCAACTTACGCTCATGAGAACTCGCTCTGATTCCGAACTTGTTCCGAGTGGAACCAAAACAAGGGCTAATATCGATAACGATAAACTCTTCTCTATTATGGGAAAATGAGGTTATGTTCAAAAAAGTATCTTTATCCCTATTATTCACACGCTTTTAGAAAAAGATGCGAATAGCAGCGAATACAATCAGTGCGCACTGAGTGACAAATGGAAATCGCTACAAGAAAAAAAGATGGGAAATTCGCATTTTTTGACTGTTTCGACAATTTGACGTTTGATACACGCATAAAACGTCAAATTGTCAACGTAATGTCAAAAAAATGCGAATTTCGCAGTTATGAGTACTAGGCTTAAGGGAGGATTTTCATGCATCCGTTTTTCCGTCGAAATATGTCCGTTTGACATATTTATATACGATTATGTCAGAATAGAATGTTAAACGGACATATTTCGACGGAAAAACGGATGCATGAAAATCCTCCCTTATACATTAGGCGCAGTGTTGCCAATTAGCGTGTAATTACACGATTTGCGTGTATTTTGATTGGCTTGCGTGTATTTTGATTGGCTTGCGTGTATTTTTCGAACATAAACAAAGAGTGTGTATTTTGCGTGTAATTTGAAAAATTTTACATTTTCTCAATTTTTGTCTGTTTCACGGCTTCCCAATTTAAACAAATGATCTGTCAAATGACTACCCTTATGGCTAAGAATAATACACACTAGGGATTGCTTATAGGCCTCGTTTTTAGTAATCGCGGTCAGCTGCTTGCGTCAGCGGTCGTTTTAAATTTATGATGAAAAATGTTAATTAAGTTTGATTATAGGCGAAGCGGAAGACGCAAATTAGATATGAGAAAGAGTTGTTTTGTTATTTAATGAAGACGAGAAATGACACGCTGCCTACGTTATCACTGGTACTTTGGAAGGGAAGGGGGTTTGAGATTTGAACTACACTGGCCTTATGAGGATAGGCTATCCTGTAGTAGTAGTAGTAGTAGTGTGTAGTATGCTTGCAGGAAACTCAGGTCCTAAAGTAACCTTCTTCCCAGGAACCAGAGTAATTAGTGATTTGATTACTTTTGGAACGCTTTTTTGTAGTTGCCACATCTTTATTTTTGGTTGAGGAACGATGATCAGGAGCATTAACCCTCAGATTTGACTGGATTTAACCCATTTCCCAATATCATAATACACAAAAAAAAAATTATACTTGTTTCTTGGTGTTACAGAATAGGTACCAAGATCGTGTGTAAAAATCGTGTAAAGCCTAGTACTCATAACTGCGAAATTCGCATTTATTTGACATTGTGTCGACATTTTGATGTTTTAAGCCTAGTACTCATAACTGCGAAATTCGCATTTTTTTGACATTGCGTTGACAATTTGACGTTTTATGCGTGTATCAAACGTCAAATTGCCGAAGCAACGTCAAAAAAATGCGAATTTCGCACTTATGAGTACTAGGCTTAATTGTGAGAAGTGAAAGCGTGTAATTTGACCAGCATATCGTGTAATTTCACAAATTCAGATTGGCAACAGTGATTAGGCGTTTTCTTTCACACAGATAATGAACTAGTAGAGTAGAACAAAAACGAACAAATAAAATAATCCATTATAAAATATCACAGATACACAATTTTGCCTCCTCAATTAATTATCCCACCAAGACAAAATGCCAAGTCCCGGTTCATTGATACTTCCCTAAAAAAATAAACCCATTAATAAACAATTAACTCATAATAAACAAATTGTTACTGTTAAATTGTATGGTATTTTATTTGTAGTGGTAGTGGAGTCTTCTTCTTGGAGTCCCGAAGGTCCCGGAGGACAAGTTTCAGTAAAACTTTCAGCAGTCACTCTGAATCTTAAACAATCTCCAATGTCCATGAATAAATCGTGTTTGCCACCATCTCCTGTATCATATTCCCACACCCATGCTTGTTCAGTTTCATTGAATTTTGAAGGGTGCTGAAGGGCGTTTGGAGGAATAAGAATATCATCAAAAAACCCTAAAGTAACTATAGAGTTTTGCCTATTATTATAAAGAATTAATTGGGCAGTTGTTGCTTTTACCATGTACCCCGTTCTCGTTGCAACTCCTAATTTTGCCCACTAGAATTTCCTCCATGAATGGACGGAAAACGATGTAGCGGAAGTTGACTATGGTGTGCGAGGCCCCATCGCCAGGTATTATGAAAGACTCTTTTAGGCTTGTTATGTCGAATAGGGCTATGCAAAGGCCCACATTCAAAACAACCTAGGATTTGAAGAATTTAAATAGGGAAAATTTGGTTGTTTTTGGACTTACTTTGTTGGCTAATTTCTTATTTAGCTCCCTGACTATTGCGTCGTTTAGCTTCATATTGAAGTTTTCCGGTAGTATTCTGGTCACATTTTTCATTTCGGTTAATATAAACATTTTTATTTAAATTCAAAACGGAAATCTTTTTCTACAAAGTTTGCATCAGTGAAAATTTGAGGTTAAAAACTCGACTGGGTGTGTACAGGGTGTTTCAAATTCGAGCTACGTCATTGAGATTTCAGAAACGGTGAGAGATACAGGGTTGGTTAAATTAGGGCAAAGTTGCGTAATTTGATGCGTGAACAGATGTAAAAAATAAGGGTTTTTGAGTAAAATGCACTATGTATATGAACCGACAGACAAATGCCGGGAATAATAAACCTTTTTAATAAACGTGGCAACGTCTAGTAATAAAAATTTCATGGAATAAAGTGTATATAACTGGTTGCCTACAGTAAATGTATTTAATGTTTATTTTCCTAATCTTTGTTGCAATGAAACGATAAAAACTAATCCAACGACCTTTGAACGTGATAAACAATATCAATGGCGAAATAATTAGATGATAAGTTTAAACTGTTTTTTCATTTTTGCTGCTTCACTTTTAACATCAGCGAAATGGCTTCAAGAACTTTAACAAAATTCATTTTTTCAAAAAACTCAAATACTTTAGTTAATAATGCGTTAAAGGGTCAAAATGTGAGGCTATTCTCTAGCCCAGCAGGTAAGAATTTTTACTTATGTACTACTAATAATTATAGTTTTCTTCTTGATCCTTGAGAACAAACAAATAGGTAATGTGGTATTGACCTGCAGACCAGCTGATGGTAATAATCTAGCATGTCAACTTGTGTACTTTAAAATTCCATGGTTTATTAATACAATAACTATAATCGATTATTAAATTATCATCAGACAACATATCAAAGTTGTTGGATTTTATCTTTGAGAAACATACAAGAGTCAATCAAAGCTCATTGTTAAAGCGCGATTCATACTATAGGTAGGTACTGGCACTGTCGCCACTGTCACGTCATACTATATACATACAGGGTGTCCCACGGTGGATGGCGTATTAGACGTTTATGGAGAACTAAAAAGCGGATCATTTTGAAAATTTGGCAACCGGGATAAACGACCATAATCTACACTTTAAAAATATTTTTGTTTATGCGATGTTGCCGCTTCTACTCTAAACTAGTGGCAACATCACTATTTTAAATGGAACACCCTGTATTAAATTGCATATTTGGATTCTACGTAAAATTCTAAGCAGATTTCATGTGATATACCCTATACCTAAGTTCAACTGTTTTGGAAATATTGACAGTTGAAAATTGACTTTTTGCAACTTTGACAGACTGTAAAACCTAATTGGTGAATTTTAGAGGAAAACCGATTTCACATTCCTATCTTAGATTTTGATAAACTATCATTTGACACCAACTTTGAACTTAACCGGAGATTAAATTTAACTGAAATTTTTAATCATGGATTTAATTCAAAGATGGTGTCAAATGATAGTTTATAAAAATCTAAGATAGGAATGTAAAATCGGTTTTCCTCTAAAATTAACCGTTTCGGTTCTACAGCCTGTCAAAGTTGCAAAAAGTCAATGTTCAACTGTCAATATTTCCAAAATAGTTGAACTTAGGTATAGGGTATATCACATGAAATCTGCTCAGAATTTTACGTAGAATCCAAATATGCAATTTAATACGGGGTGTTCCATTTAAAATAGTGATGTTGCCACTAGTTTAGAGTAGAAGCGGCAACACCGCATGGTCAAAAATATTTTTAAAGTGTAGATCATGGTCGTTTATCCCGGTTGCCAAATTTTCAAAATGATCCGCTTTTTAGTTCTCCATAAACGTCTAATACGCCATCCACCGTGGGACACCCTGTATACGCCATTTCGTCAAAGTTTCTCAAGAAATATTATATTTAATGGGACGATACGGTGCCGGTACGTATAGTATGAATCAAGGGAATGTGACCCAAAAAAACAACTCAAGCTACTTGATTCAAGAAAAAAAATCTAAGATCTCTCGTGAAAACCGCAGTCCTGAATATATTCAAAATAATAGCCGGAGCCGAGAAAATCCCTTGTGAAGATAAATTATCATGCAGGAACTTGTGACGTCATACCGGCTCAAGGGTAGGTTGCCTGATAACTTTAATGACATCATGCCTAAGGCCGAGGACACAATGACAAATACAAGGGTATACAAGGTACAAGTGACGTGACAAGATACAAAATACCAAAAATTTGAAATTTTGTATCGCGGCGTGGCAAGTAAAATTGTATCCTATATCCATTTATTTTGGGCAATGTTTTGGGTTACAGTAGGTAGGCGTATATAGGCAATCCAATCCATCCAGTGGTGCCAGATTGTTTCAGTAGGAATTCGTAAGATTGGTCGCCAAAAATCGTGAGACAACTGAAAAGCGTCAATTTGAAAGGAATTCGCCTTGTAAAACGTTTCTGGCGACATCTAGTGGTATTATATTTTCACTTCTGACGTGCAATTTGTTTATAAAAAAAAATTATGTTTTAGTTATTCACCTTACAAGTGCAGAAAGTGGTATTTTTTCGCACGAGCCGGCAGTTGCACGAACGACGGTGCGGAAAAGTACAACTTTCAAAACGAAATCTCCTGCGGGGGCAAGTAACTTTTCTGCATGCTCGTAGGAACAAAGTTTTTTTACAAATTGCACGTGATAAATTCGAAAACAACAACAGTTTCTTATAATTATAATTTAAACATAAATAAATAATAAAAAACGCGATATCGAATAAAAACGAATTCCTGGTGATTCCCCGCGGCTGCTAAAAAATACCGACCATTTGCCTCGCGCTACAATAGTGCCATCTCCCGTTGCAGCGCTGATCTAATAAAATTTCAGTGTTGCCTGAGGTTGCAGTGTTGTTGTGTACCAACGTCGTACCAAAGAATTACTGATTTTTATCCTAAATTATACATATTTATTCTCATATTTCTGTCACAGAATTCTTTACTGGAATTATTTTGCAATTAAAAACTCTTATGTTTTACCAAAACTTTAAAAAATCGTGAAATTCTTGGGACATATCGTGAGATTCGATACAAAATCATGAGATCTCACGATAAATCATGAGATCTGGCACCCCTGAATCCATCTGTCAAAACGAAAAATTCAATATGGCGTCGCGGCCAGCAAGTTTGTTTTGAATATGTATTTTGCTGAGTTCTGCTTGCACCTTTGATTTTGATTGTTCAATAAAATATTTGTTCACTAGGTACAGTCATGAGCACAAAAAGTGGGACACCTATTTTTTCCTATTGTAAAACCGGCGCACCAGCTATACCTACGGCAATGACAGGGATTGTCATATTTGGCAAAAAATCCGTTATACAGAAAAGACTGATTTACCCAAAATAGCGAAAAATGACAAGACCTGTCAGTCGGGTGTCCCACTTTTTGTGCTCACGACTGTACGTAAACTATAAAGCCTAGTACTCATAACTGCGAAATCCGCACTTTTTTGACATTGCTTCGACAATTTGACGTTTGATACACGCATAAAACGTCAAATTCTCAACGCAATGTCATAAAAATCCGCAATTCGCAGTTATGAGTACTAGGCTTAAAGCCTAGTACTCATAACTGCGAAATTCGCATTTTTATGACATTGCGTTGAGAATTTGATGTTTTATGCGTGTATCAAACGTCAAATTGTCAACGCAATGTCAAAAAAATGCGAATTTCGCAGTTATGAGTCTCTACTAAATCCAAAGCTCACGTACTCTGTGCTGTTAAGGTACGATTCATATTATACATACCGGTACCGTCACGTCATACTCTCATATGTCATACTATACGTCAAATATTCTCATTAAAAAGCAATAATATTTCTTGAATCAAGAAAAAAAATCTAAAGATCTCTCGTAAAAACCGCAGTCCTATATTCAAAATAATAGCCAAGAAAATCCCTTATAAAGATAAAATTATTAGGCAGGATCTTGTAACGTCATTCCCACCGGTCAATCGCAACCTTCTGTTTGTTCAGTCGTCAGTGAACCGCAAGGATAATACCCATTACTACTACAGGTTAGCCTATCCTCATAAGGCCTGTGTAGAATAAATTTGAAGCTCTCCTCCACGCCAAATCACCGGTTGTGACGTAGCAGCATGTTTTTTCCCGGGTTATGATTCCGCGGGCTTTTGCTTTTGCTTATTGCATACTTGGTTTTACTATATTAGGCAATTTTTCGCCAAGCATATTCTTTTGCTGGATTATGTGATGTGTCTTTTGTGTCATACTTCCCCACCATTAAATTTTGGAATACTCGAGGATCTAGAGCATTTAATTTCTTCTGTGAAAACAGACCTTAAATTACCTTTTTCTACATTTAAAATCAACGAAAAAATTAACTCATTAGCCTGAGTCGCAAGCATTCCATCGAAGTCTGCAGGTGACGTCATCGCTATAAGCGATTATCCTCGCGAAAAATTGCTTACTATTGGCACTATACTTTTTTGAAAAAATACGAGAACAGAGAACGGTATCAGTGCAAAACGATTGTTGCACTTGTTCTACCTACCAATGAAATACACTAGTGAGACTGTTGACTTTTGTTTTGGAATATTGGAAGCGGGTTCACGTATTTGCATCATATTTGCATTCAGGGGCGAGCTCAGAAGTATAATCTATAATACGAAGTTACTTGGACTAGGCTTGAAATAATGGTATTGTCAATATACTGCATATATAACAAAATTTATACTGATTGCTCATCATGCCGTTGGAAGTCAGACAAACTAATTAATTAGACTATCCAAGATGCTGTCAAACTTAAATTAAAATGTCCGCCAAGAAACACACAAGTTCATTGCACAACCCTTTGTTTGCTGGTCAAAGTCACTTGTTTTGGATAGGCTAATAGTGCTAATACCCTACTTTATTACGTCTAAACTTACCGCACCAGCCACCAGCGGTGTTGTTTAAGGTTATGTTATATTATAGTTACTTAACATATTAGGCAATTCGGGCAATTCCAATCCAAGGATAATACCTGAGAGGGATAATATAAAACTACTACTACAGGAGAGCCAATTCTCATAAGGCCAATCTAAAGTCACTCACCATGCCAAATCACCAGCTGTGACGTAGGCAGCATGTCGTCTCGGGTCTCTCGCCTTGACGTAAGGTGTTTGCATGACAGGTTATGACTCCGCAAGCTTTTGCTTTAAGCCAGAGTCTCGTGCATCCGTTTTCCGACAAAAGATGTCCTAAAAACCTTCTATTCTGACATAATCGTATGAAAATATATGACAGAATAGAAGGTTTATACGACATCTTTCGTCGGAAAACGGATGCATGAGACTCCGGCCTTATGCGTACTTGGTTTTACTACATCAATTAACATTCTAAAGCCCGGTTTATTCATCTTCAAATAAACTTGCTGGTAACTATCTGCAAGATACATTTACCGTTTTATAATTCTATTGGTTTGCGGATAACTGGCCAACCAATGGTATTACAGATTGCGTTTTTATCCGTCAGACCGTCAGATTGCATACCTGACAGTTTATTAAATGGTGAATAAATCGGACTAACAACTATTTTTTAGATCTTGTTTGCATCTTCCTATTTACCTATTGTTAATAAAAATTAATATTTTTCATCATAAATTTAAATTCTAACCTACGACCGCTGGCGCAAACAGCTGACGACGTTAACGACTTAATTAATGACGTCGGCAACGGTGATACACTAAGATGGCGGCGATTACCAAAAACGAGGCCGATAAGCAATCCTTAGTAGTTTGTATTATCCTCGATTCGAATCAGCTAATTCAAGATGACGACATGAAATCAGAGATATGGGAGAGGTGTTGGTTAGAATGGAGTAAGGGTCCATCTTGCGCATCTGGCCGAATTTGAAGAACCGCCATTTTTATCACACCACTCTGATAAAATCTCAGAAAATTCAAAAAAAAATTGCCAACAACATCAATCTAACTGACCAGTAAGATTATGTTGTGAAAAATCTGTCAAATTGAAGTTGTCAATGTAAAGACTAGTAGAAAGTGTAAACGGGCCTTCACGACTGTCAGATGTGTTCTTTGACCCACCCGCAGGGTTGCGTTTACAAATATCACTCTGGGTATGAGAGTGACCCTAGAGTAACTCTAAACCGTTCATAAATTTACAGATGCTTACTCGGAGCTTGGAGCGTAATGCCTCATTTTCACTTGTGCGAAATTCGCTCTTTTTTGACATTATTTCAAAAATTTGACTTTTGATACACGCATAAAACGTCAACCTGTCGAAGCAATGTCAAAAAAATTGCGATTTTCGTGCAAGTGAGAATGAGGTATAACGCTGAAATCGTTCAGAAATCGAGAGTTGACGTGACTAGAGTGCGCCCAAATTACCTGGGACTGGAATGAAAAACCCCATGCGGTTTTTACATTGATTTTTACCAGGTTTTACGTGATTCATGACATTGACGTTCTCCGCAACGCCCCAATGCGTTCAGAAATGTCGCACTTCAAGTGATGACGTCAGAAAATTCTGACAAACAACTACACTCTATTTTTAAACGCACTTCTGCTTTTAGTGTCCATTTTTGAAGCAAATTTTAATATTAGTGAGAACGTCAATGACAGGGGTTGTTTGTTCTGTCGCACGCATAGATGTTTACAAGCAATGATAGGGTATAATAAATCTACTTTGGATACCCCAGATGACGTCATAAAAGTTATCAGGCAATCTACTTTTTTCAAATAACCTTGCTTTAAATCGAGTCATTGCACTACTCACACTCCCTTTAAGGTGCGATTCATACTATTAGGCAATACGCTCCATCACAGTGACGTCATAAACTGGCAGGTTATGAAAAAATATTGCTCTAATAAATTAGAAATTGACCTGAAATTTGTTTGGATACAGCTATCATGGCCAATATCAACATGGTGACGTCAGCACTAATGGAGCCTTAGAGCAAGTAAAGGTAAAGAGGAGTAGTAACATGAAATTGGAAAATGAAGCTGTTTTTTTCGAGGTAATTTGGCACCAAAAAAATGGCGGTATAGGAAATTCAATGCTTTACCTGTATTTTGGTGCCAAAAACTTGGCTTCACTTTAGTTTCATAGGTAGAATGGCGCGTTCCTACTCCTTATGTCCGTAGGACAGCGCTTTACCTGCTCTAAGAATGGAGCGTATTCGGATCAGCTGATAATTCAAGATGGCGACCTGAACATAACAAACTTGACGACCGTGAAGGTGCCTTTACACATTCAATTCCAATTGATTGCAGTTTGAATGGGAATTGAATGTAAACGTGCCTTTACAGTCAACGACACTTCAAATATTCTATAAATCAATGGTCGTATTAAGCCTAGTACTGATGACAGCGAAATTCGCTCTTTTTTGACATTGCTTGGACAATTTGGCGTTTTATGCGTGAATCAAACGTCAAATTTTTGAAGCAATGTCAAAAAAAGCGAATTTCGCGGTTATAAGTACAGGCCTTAGGCTGTTGGGCAATCCAGACCACGTGATTCAATATGGCCGTTCAGGTTAAAAATTCTGGTGGCGTTCATAAGACAAGCATTCGTGTTCTGATCCTTGTTGTTGTAGATGCCAAACATAACGTCAAACCTAAACGTCCAGCACCGGTTTATTCATCTTCTGATAAGTTGCCAGATATGCAATTTGACGGATAAAAACGCAATCTGTAATCCTATTGGTTGGCCACTTATCCGTCGACCAATAGAATTATAGAACGGTAAATTTATCTTGCAGATAGTTACCAGTAAGTTAATCTGAAGATAAATAAATCAGACCTTATAATGTGACAAAAGTAATTTTTCATTGATTTTTATCAGTAAACCAAATTTAAACAACACGGTGTTTGACCTGAACGGCCATATTCAATTTCGTTTGACAGGTCAATCGATTGCTTGATTTATACCAAGGATGATAAACACCTACAAGGATTGCTAATCGCCGCCATATTGGTCTGCAACCATTGCCGACGTCATCAGCTGTTTAAACAGCCTACGTCAAGACGAGAAATAACATGCTGCTTACGTCACAACTGGTAATTTCGTATTATGGGGGGATTTGTTACACACAGGCCTTATGAGGATAGACCATCCTGTAGTAGTAGTAGCGTTTATCATTCTTGTATTCACACTACATCTTGAGGAGAATATTTACCGTATCGGTATTGGATTTGGCACACTGTCAAGATTTTTGTTTACTTCCAGAAAACTACGAATTCATCAAAGTTAGCACAACGGGTGCTAAAAACAACGTAGGCTTAATCCAACTGAACCGTCCTAAAGCCCTGAACGCCCTGTGCAATGGCTTGATGTCGGAAGTAGCCAAAGCCTTAGACTCCTTGGAAAATAATTCGACTATTGGCGCAATCGTAATAACCGGAAGCGAAAAAGCCTTTGCGGCCGGAGCCGACATCAAGGAAATGCAAAATAATACTTACTCGGCTTGCGTCAGCGGTAACTTTTTGGAAGACTGGAACAGAGTCAGCAAAACTTTCAAACCTGTCATTGCTGCAGTGAATGGTTATGCTGTAAGAACTATATTATTTATGTCGTATCTAGGATAATAGGACATCTTCCATTTGCCAATATTTCATATCAATACCGCGACCCTGGTGCGTGATTGCTGATTATAACAATTACCGTAAACTGTCGTTGACATTGACCTTCCATGGGTTTAGGTTCCTCATACAATTTTAACTTGCAACCGAGTATTATTTAAACGTGACGTGATCAATTATTTGCCTGAAACCCATGAACATTGGGTTTAATTAACCAAAGGAAGATGCCCTATTATCGTAGATACTATGATATATACCCATATTGCAAAAGTTAATAGAAACCCAAATATTTCATAATAATTATCATTGTCTTATTTTCAGCTTGGAGGTGGTTGCGAACTAGCAATGATGTGCGACATAATCTACGCAGGTGAAACGGCAAAATTCGGCCAGCCGGAAATCTTAATTGGAACCATCCCAGGCGCAGGTGGTACCCAAAGACTCCCCAGATACGTGGGCAAATCAAAAGCAATGGAAATCGCTTTAACTGGGGCTCAAATAACAGCGCAAGAAGCTGAAAAAATGGGTCTCGTTTCGAAAGTTTTCCCCGTAGACAAACTAGTAGATGAAACTGTAAAACTAGGAGAAAAAATCGCTAGTAATTCAGGCCTCATTAATAAGTTGTGCAAGGAATCTGTCAATGCTGCTTACGAGACTACTTTGACACAAGGCCTGCAGTTTGAAAAGAAATTGTTCCACGGTACTTTTGCTACTAAGGATAGGAAAGAAGGGATGACTGCTTTTGTTGAAAAAAGACCAGCAAATTTTACTAATGAATAATAATTTTTTTACAATACAATTTAAGCCCACGGTTGTGTAAGGCCTTCATCAATATTAAACTTTTCCTTTTCCAATATTTCAATACAATCTTCAATATTTTTATATGCAATATGCTTATTTAAGAATTTTAAAATTAAAGAATTGTTAATTTTAAGGGCTAATAGAGGGTTTAATTTCTTCATGAACCAATTTAACCAGTAACCCATCAATAGTACGGAATCTGTCTGATTTTCATGTGTAGTGTGCCTAAAAAAAAATAACCAATAATTTTATGTCGACTTGTAATTAACACATTGATAGATCAATGTTATGTGACACAACGTCTATAGACGGCATTTAAAAAATAACTAACAACGGTAGACGTCGGCTCTCACATAAATATGTACTACACGACAACAAATTTATATATTGTCACTACATGCACAGGAAGGAATATAGGTTACTCTCATAGGTTACTGTCACCGCATGGCCGTTTAGAAGTAGGGGGAGGTGGGTAACGCATGTCTCGTCAGTAAACGTCCAGCTGCCATTAGTTGGCAGACATTTTTGTTGTGTCACAACGTGTTCAACAAAGTGGTAAATTGAATAAAGTGTATACGGATATTTGCATAGAAAAAGTGAATAGTTTTCATGTAACAATTTCTTGTGTACTGGAGATTCAAAAAACTTTAAACAGGTGTATTTATTTCCAAGAATGATACACACTACTACTACTACAGGATGGCTTATCCTCATAAGGTCTGTGTGTAACAAATCCCCCCTACCCCCCTTCGCCAAACAACCAGTTGTGACGTAAGCAGCATGGCGTTTCTCGCCTTGACGTAGACTCTATAAATAGCTGACGGCGGCAATGGTTGAAAACCAATATGGCAGCAATTACCAAAAACAAGGCCGATAAGCCCTCCTTAGAGTGTGTATTCTCCTTGTATTATTTCGTATATTTGTTGATGATTGTTCTAGAATAAGTATTGAGATTATATTATATAAAAAATATTTGGCGCGGGTTTCAAAAATTGTCTGTGACGTCTATAAACGTTATGTCACAATAGATTTACAGATGAGGTCGACGATTGGCGCCAGAGAGTGACAGCTCGGTATTTTAATTTTCAATTTTGTGAAATAAAAATGTTTAGGTAGCAAAAATACCTAATTGTGAAAGAGAAAATAAGTAAGTGCATCTTAAGACTGGTGGAAATTCCCAGAAATCCTACTCTATTTTACTTCGGAATTTCTTGCGACATTTGGCAACTTATAACGTTTCTAGGGTATTTCGACCCCGCTGAATCCGGATTTTGCCAAAGCGAATTTTGCCTTTAAAGGCCTCAAATCCAAGATGGCGGCCACTAAGGGCCTAAATGACATTTTTCTTGAAGTGTATCGTTATTGACCAGCGAGATGTCGTTTCATATGTTTTTGGGGTCGCTAAACATGAATATAAGTACCGGAAGCCGATTCGGATACCGGAAGTATCATAATTCAAAATGGCGGCCGTCGGGGGTCTAAATACAGAACTTGTTGGCATATTGTCAAGTACGGCATATCGCGCATCTGTTTTTGACGTGAACTAGATCAAAAATTAGCATCAGAAATCGATTAGGCAACCGAAAGTACCGTAATCCAAGATGGCGACCAGCTGGGGCTCAAATACAAAACTTCAATAAATTGCTATAATATGACGTGCTGGGTATGACCAAAAGTGTTTTGGAAGTCGCTGAACACGAATTTGAGGTCGGAAAAGCGACAGGAAACATATTAACAGTTTTGCCGAAATAAAATAGTACAACTATACTTTGAGGGGTAAACAAAATGCACAAAACATTTTACATGAATACATCATCACTGTCATTGTTATTTTCGCAATCTGCCTAACACTGGCACAACTTAGTACAGACCTCTCCCTGCCGCATGCACTTGCACAAGCTTGTGCCGCACCCTGACCTGCAGCCATAACTCAGTAACTGCATGCAGGACTTAGGCATCGCTGGCGGGGTGGCGTAGACTGGGATGTAATTCTCCTTCAAACGCCATCCGTACCGGCAAGGATCAGGAACGTCTGGCCTTGCTATATGCGCATTTAGTCAGACCCCGGTAGGTGGCTCAGAGAATGTGAAGACGGGAAGAATTTTGGTATTTGGGCTCCAACCGGTCGCCATCTTGGATTACGGTACTTCCGGTTGCCTAATCGATTCCTGGTGCTAATTTTTGATTTAGTCGACGTCAAAAACAGATGCGCCGCACTTGACAATATGCCAACTTCTGAAAGTATTTAGGCCCCTGACGGCCGCCATATTGAAATATGTTACTTCCGGTATTCGAATTGACTTCAGCGAACCCAAAAACATATGAACCGACATCTTGTCGGACAATAACGATACACTTTAAGAAAAATTTCATTTATGGGCATGGCCATTTCCACCAACTATTTTAGGGGAGCCTTAGCGATAAGTATGCCTTAAACTGACATTTCTATGCCCTAAACTGACATTTCTTCATGGAAGACTATAATACTCATAAGGTAAAATAATTGGTGGAAACGGTCACTAGGACCTTAGTTTGGCCGCCATCTTGGATTTGTGGCCTTTGGAGGCGAAATTTGGCTTGGCAACATTCGGATTCGGATTCAGTTGCCGAATGTCACACGAAATGCCGCTCGGAGTAAAATTCCTGAAAATGTTCACTAGTCTATCTGGGGGTAAGTCCTCAGAATAAAATTTAAATCCCTACTTGTCTTAGTAGTAGGTATAGCTTTTTCCTATTTTGCCTTTTTCTAACCTAAAATAGTATCACAACCACATGATTGTAGAACCAGAGGGCCGTTGCAAATGTTGTCGAAGCCAGGAGGCTAAAGAAGCGAATAACTGAAACAAACACTGAATCAGTGGTGTTTACATATCAAGGAAAAGTGATTCCAGCGTCAGTAAACCTAGATTTCTGTGATATAATGATTTCAGTCTATTAACTCCAGTATTGATGTGTTTCAAATGTTTAAGATAAGATGTCCGATATGTGCGAAATAGCACGAAAAAAGGGACTGTGAACAAAGCATACCTAATTGCTTATACTGAAACGTGGAACATAAAACCACTGATAGACAATGCAAGGTGTCAGAGCCGTAGCCAGGGGGGCAATGCCCTATCTTTCAAATGATGATGCCCCCACCTTTAAAACACAACATGCCTTGAGGTTTTTCTAGGAAATTTAAGAGTAGATGAAAGCACTATTCCAACCGACATGAGAACCATTCTAGGACGGTAATTTCCCGTCGATCAATTCATTTGTCAAGTAGGATAAACGTTCAACTTATTGAAAATTAGGTGGGCAATTGGAAATTACTGGTTCTGGAACAGTTCCCATGTCGGTTGGACCACAGTTAATGAATAGACCTGAAATCGAGTAAGTTGGTAGGTATACAGTTGTTTCACACAAGTATAAGAGGTCCCTAAAAAATTATTGCCTGAAGGCGCCATTTTGTTTACTTGCCAGAGATGGTATTTGATGTTTTTTATTGAAAAATTTGCCTTCGGCGCCATTACCCCCATTTTGTTTACCTATAAAAAATTTAAGAAGGGCGGAGGGAAGTAGTGCATGGTGCATGCCCTATGTCAAATTTTTTATGCCCTATTACAAATTTGACTCTACCTACGGTCCTGCAAGGAGTACTTGAAACAAAAAACAATCAAAACTACAATGATAACAGAAAACATCTCCTATTTTAAAGTTTGGAATAAACACCCAAAAGGAGATGTAAATATAAGACAGAGTGAGAACTTAGATCATAGACTTTCCAGTTCTGAATCCTACAAGAAGTGCTGCAGAAGCCAGTAGACCAGAGACATTTATAAATATCAACCCCAAGAAAACCATCATATGCTTCGGCTGTATGTAATCTGAAAAGAAAAAAGGTTAGGGTATGACAGAGAAATGCACAAAAAAATGTCTGAGTCCTTCTTCTGCTAGAACGCCTACTCAAAGAAGTACAAGGAAAGGCTCGCCAGTTGGTAGTACCTACTCGTTTCAGCCAACACCAATATTAGAAGTTGTAAAACAACTTATTGGCAAGACAACTTTGACCCAGGAGGCAGTGGCGTTGTCTTGCTATGTCACTTCCTCAGGCCCGTAAGCAAAGAATCCCACGGGCCCCCCGTCGACGGAACTAAATGTTTGAAAGTAGGCAACCCATAATTTATCTAGCGGTTACGCGTTGATCAAGGAAAACGCAGCCTAAAAGGGTGTTCTTGGCTGGAAATCGGGATAAATACCACTATGATGAGGTCGGTTAAATTAGACACAAATGGCAGTTTCAGTATCTATTGAAGGTGAGTTCACAAGGTTGTCAACTTTATATGCGTTTCCGAAATATAAGGGAAAATGTAAAAAATGCCCAAAACTTATTTAATGAATATTTCAGAATCTATAAACTTTAGAAAAAAGTGTTCAATACAAAAGTTTCAAGATTCCTTCTTTTCTGCAAAATTACGTAGTTTTTATCTTTACACAGCTTTATATTTTGCCTCATATTTCGCAAACGAGTAAAATTTCAGCAACTCTATGAACTTATCTTTAATGAACACTAAAATCTGCTACTTTTATCTAATTTAACGGATCTCATACCTCTTACCATCTCAGAGAGAGCAATAGTGGTATCACTTGAAGCGGACACCCTGTATATGTGTGACCGCAAAATCGGCCGATGTGGTTGAAAAATAGACGGTGCTACTTTGATACCAAAAGGCATTCTATCATATTAAAATAGACCTTGATGTGTATTAATGGTTTATTATTCTTTGGAATTTTCATCTATCTCAATTTGAAGAAATGCGTCAGAAAGATCCACAATGCTGAATACGGTGGCGTTTGCAAGTTTGGATGCACAATAATGGCACATTGGTAAGAATGAAAGGTAAGTAAGGAACAAACGTTTATCATATAGGAATAAGGATACAGCGGTTGCAACCGGACATTATGAGTAGGTAATACTGTCCCATGTACCCATTAAATTCCCGGACCATCGGGCAGCGGTGCTTATACTCCCGCTATATGATAGCTACGCCACTGCAAGGAGGTGAAAGATGTAATTATTATGGAAGAAATCAAAAATGCAACTCAGAAATCTGGGGAACCCGATTACGATTTAGAGAATCAATACCTTTTGGAAAATGCACACGCTAATGTAGATGAATTTAATTATGAACAAACATAACATGAAAATAATCCAATGGAACATTAGGAGTGTTTCAAGAAACCTCAGCGATTTTACTATTTTACTCTATGCTGTCAAGACTACAGCCATTCATGAAAAATACCTTGTTGCAACATTTTAATGGAATCCTTTGATAGGAGACAGGTTTCCCACAGGCGTGGAGAAACCAAATCGTCATCCCGCTTAAAAAACCCAAGACTTAAAAGCATATACAGACCAATAGCTTTGACATCGTGCCTTGGTAAATTAATGGAAAGCATGGTTAAGACACGTTTAGAACATTTCTTGAATTCAGAGGCGCCGACTTTTGAAAGTTCTCATGGGTGGTGCAGGGTGCAGGATAATAACTTTATAAATTTGTTTATAGGGGGAGGGAGAAAGTTGCTGCAGGCGCAAACTATGTATATTTAAATTACATGATATTACTGGTCCATCAAAAATTTCTAAAAGGATCAATAAATCATGCACGAGCCTATATGATGATACCCACTTAACGACGCCCTTGATAATTAATTAAAAGGGGACCAAATACACTAATTGATCGGATGATTCAACCACGAAAAATCGAGGTCAGAAACAATAAAAAAAATTGAAGACAATGGAGGGACCAATGATATAAAAAGGCAACTTTGGTAGGAGAAAATCAGTGTTCGAGAAACCGGCAGAACTACGGCGTGAAGGACCAGTGTCGGTTGAGTAATCAAGAAACAAGTAGTTATCGGGAATCAAGAGACAAGTGTCCAGAAAGTCAGAACTACGGCGTGAAAGAGTTGTCGAATTAACTAAGAGAAGAAACACGACGTGAAATAACAACACGAAAATATTCGAGTTTTATTAAATGTTCATAATTAAAGTAAATTCCTTCGTCCAATAAGTGATATAGCATACAGCTAAAGCGGGGTAGCCCCGATGCACTAGAGGACATAAGTGAAGGGATGTTGTTTGACGACAAGAGGCCATTGGTAAACAGGAAGAAGAAGAAGACGTCTACAGATACATATGTAATATGACTCGACGTCCATGGTCGTCGTCCGAATGTTTAAAATTTTTTTTTTTTCAAAAAACTGCTTTTTTGAATTCTGCACTCCCCCTGTTTTACAGTGTCACAACACTTGCTTACACTTGTCCATCAACGTGTTAATAAATATAGGATTAGTATTTTCTTACCTTATCGTATACATTTCGGCATTTTCATGAGCAACAAACTTAGCCATTGCATCAACATTAGGAGCAATATGAAACGTTTGTGTATTAATAAAAAGCAACGGTTGCTCTATATCTAAGGCCTCGTTTTTAATAGGAAACATCCAAGGATCTAATAATATTCCCAATTTTAACTCCTTTCTTTTAGATAATGCATATAGAGCAGTTGCACCTCCAAACGAGTGCCCCATTATACAAACATTACTAACATCCAAATTGCCTTTTAGCTGATTTAAATTAAATTGGATATTTGTATGATTAGCAGTGGCATCCATTATATTAGACGGTACAATGCCTTGTTGCAATTCTAGCAAAAAATCCAAAGTTTTGCTGCATTCATCAAATTTTAATTTAATTTGTTCGTTGCGCTTTGTGTAGTGGTTTCTGCCGAATTTTATGTGTCTAAAATCTATAGAGGTTTTTTTATCAGCTTCAGCGTCAGCTTTAGTTGAATAGTAAAACGTGTGACAAGCTGATTGGTCTCTGTGTTCTAGAGCAGCTATCAAAAAGCCTCTTGAAGCCAATTCGCAGCAGATATTTGTATAGAGAAATCTAGTGCCTCCCAATCCATGTGAGAGTATTATGCATTTAAGAGGCTCATCTGTTTTAGGTTTTGCACCGTAGATGGCAGGGATTTTTATGTTACCTACAATTAGTTTATTAACAATAAACTCACTAGTAATAGGTCTGTTTCTGCAGAAATCACAAACCAGTCAAGAGTGAATTTCATTTGATTCGGTTTGTGATTTCTGCAAAAACAGACCTTAGAATTCTTGTTACCTGACCACCAAAGAAGTAACTTCAAAAAACACTTATAAACCATTATAACTTTTGCCAGGCCCGTTAAATAATCATCATCCGGAAGCCAAGAAATCCATTTTTCAGGATTAGGTTTTTCGTTAGTGGGATAATACAGTCTCAAAAACGGTGCATCTTTTTTGTAATCCAATAAAACGTCCACCATTCCGGGCGCGAACGGACCTACAAATCGAAATAGTTTGCCTCAAAATGGCGGCAACTTTTTGCCTAGTTTCAGGGCCGGTTTATCTTAAGAGTTGGGTTACACAAAATTGTGACAAGTACCTATTTATCCATCCAGGGTCAACTGCTAACGATAATTAATCGACAGTCCCCCAAGCAGCGTTGACGTGTGGCTTCCTATAAGGATCCCAGCGTTCGAAGGGTCATGCATCTTATAGGATTAGAGTATATGTAAGGGTATATTTGGAAAATATATATCTACACTTTTATATAACTTGAGCGAGTTTCTCTCCATCAACCCCGAAAGCTACAAACCCCCATTTCACCCCCGTAAAGCGGGCAGTTGTGAAAATATGTTTCAAATATACAAGCTCATACAGCCGGGAATTCAGATTATAATTATTTCCCACAAATTGTATCTTCTTGATATTTGTGACGAATCCAATCCATAGGGTACCTAACCGTTATAGCGTTCTTTAACAAGTAAAACAACAAACAATCTTCTCTAGTGAAATGTTGATGGGGCTTATTGAGACCAAATGGCATACGAACAAACTGGTAATGACAATAATCAAAGATATCTTACTACAGATAGATCTTATGTATAAACTGAAGTTGACAGGTTTGGTATTTCAATGTTACTTTGAGATTTAGCTAAGGTATTCTTAAGTTAAACATGAAATATGAAATCAGTTCCTTTAGGTGAGTCTCAAGATTCACATCAAAAGCCAAAAATGGTAAAAATTTGAAAATTCTTATCCATCAATAAATCTGATAGTTGGTACCACCTATTTATTCAACTTTAGCAACGCTTACCTTGACAGGTTTGGGTATTTCAATGTTACTTTGAGACTGTTAAGGTACCCTTAAGTTAAATACGAAAAGTAGCAAGGAAGATTCAAGGAACGACTATAAATTCGGCTCTAAGATTCACATCCACCGTAAATAAAGAGAACTTTATTGTATTAGGGTCAGGGTTCTGTGGTTTATTCTGTACCTTAAAGTTACATTGAAATACCGGCCTCTAATTCACCATTTTGTTATTGATTTTCGATTGTCTTGTTCTAATGGCATCAATGTCAGTAATATCGAACTGTCGAAAAGTTTCTAATTTTGATTATTAGCGGCCCTTGGAGAATTTTTTGATATATTTGTTTTTATTTTGAGATATTTTAGTTATCTTAGGCCGGTGTTACCCTTACCCAATTCCCTAATTCTTAATTTTTGTTCTTAATTCTTAATCTTTAAAAACACCAATGTTAAATAAATTGAACTTTTTAAGAATTAAGAATAAAGGACAAATATTAAGAATTAAGGAATTGGATAACTCAGGCCTTAGTGTGGCAAGATCAATCGTTAGTTAAATCCTTATTAGCAAACAATAACATGAGATTGTGCCACATAGTCTAAGATTTTTGTTAACTAACAAGGACTTAACCAACGAATGATCTAGCTGCACTTAAGAGAAAGTTTTGAAGCTCTTGAAACATATCTGCCTAGTTTTTTCTCCCTCTCTATGCCATCATTCTCTCTGCCTATTATCATCAATGGCCGAGCTTTTGATTATTCAAATCTATAAAGAGTAAATTCTGCCTATATGGAATTTACTCCTTATAGATTTTGGTTTACACAAATTTTGATATTTGTGACGAATCCAATCCATGAATCCATACCGTCCTTCGAAGTGAAACAAACAACATTCTCTACCTGAAATGTTGGTGGAGCGTTTTTGAGACCAAATGGAATACAAACAAACTCGTAATGACAATAATCAAAGATATCTTACCACAGATAGATTTTATGTAGGTATAAACTGAAATTTGTTGTGGATGTCTATACTCGAACCGGGGAACCATGTTCTCATGACAAAGACAAAGTATATATAGCGGTGGACGCATGAGACAAATAAAGCTGGCCGATCGAAGGAAGAGCGAGAAAAGAATAAAAGAACGTTAACACTATGTAAATTCCGTCTCTTTTCTGCTTGTACTAGGGCCGTGTAGCGTATCGTTTAGTTTGAGTACCTTAGTGGTAAAGGATGCCATAGACGTGACGATGACATAGCACTTTATAAAATTACCCACTCGTTTTCATAACTTGACAATAATTATAAGATTCTAGCTAGATTCGTGCAATGGAATCTACATTACAAATCCTGCAACAGCCTTTATGATGATATGTCACTTACTTAACTATGTTCAAAATTCTTCAGATAATTTAAGAGGTTTGAAGATATTTTAGTATCAGTGATTTTATATGAAACAAGAAATGGACAAAAGCAAAATAGTTCCAGGAGCATTTTCTATCATCACCTACAAAGGAATATCAACTGTTTTTGTCATTCAATCGGAGGTTTACCTTACGGATACGAGTAAATACTTCTTGTTGTAAGATTCGTTAGTGCTCATCGAGATTTTTTCCCATCCGTAACACATCATCCAGGTAGAAAAGGCATACTTTCCATGTATGTTCTCGTAGTACGATTTCCATCAAATTCTCGAAAGTAGTGGGGGCATATATTACATAGTCCAAAAGGCATTACCTTGAATTGGCAAAGACCATTTCCAGTGGGCATCAGCGAGACGAGAATGAAAGACGAAAAGTGTACCGTACTAAAAAATGGTTCCACGCTATACCAGAGAAACTCTGAGGTAGACTTACAAGGTGGAGTCCTATAATTGTCAAGTTATGAAAACGAGTGGGCAATTTTATAGAGTGCTATATGTCATCGTCACGTCTATGGCATCCTTTACCACTAAGGTACTTAATGCTTGGGCCTGGGGCCCAACCGAATTGAAAATAGACCCTAATAATAAGTTATTGTTCAAGTACAAATGAGTAGGGATGGCAATTTTTGGAAAAACATCGATGCATCGACATCGATAGACATCGGAAAGCAATGCATCGATTTATAAGATACATCGAGTTGAAAACATCGATGTGTTCGATATTTTCAAAAATGCGATATTTTATTTATTATTTCTTTTTAGTTATTGAAAATAAAATAATAATTGAGTCAATTAGATAAGTTGAATTAAAAAATAAGAAAGGCATAACAACATAATATAAGCAAAAGCCCGCGGAATCATAACCTGTGGTGCAAACAGCCTACGTCAAGGCGACAAACGACACGCTGTCAACAGCGTTAAGTCAACTGTCAATTTTTCATCAAGACTGCCAAGAATAGCGATTTTCATTGGGTAGAACCTAGTGCCGACGGCCGAGTAACAGAAAATGTATTTAAAAAAATCATACATTTTAAAGGTTAAACATCGATAGTATCGATGTCGATGTATGGATATATCGACTTGTGTTGTATCGATGTTTATTGTTCGATATATCGATGTTTTGAAAAAATCGATGTATCGTTGCCATCCCTACAAATGAGTGGATTGTTGCGGAACTTATGGGTGGACCTCTGCGGGACGAGCGCAGCGAGTTCCGCAGCCATCTACTCACCAATATACTGTTGAACTGTTCAAGTAAGAAATTCACCTAAAATGTGTAATTTTTAAACTAATGAGAATAACGCACATTTGAGTGAGTCAGTTTAGTATTGTAATTAAACAACATATTGATGAATAAATGGCTGCGGAACTCGCTGCGCTCGTCCCGCAGAGGTCCACCCATGAGTTCTGCAACAATTCACTAATTTGTACTTGAATAACCTGTCACATTATGTTACTAGTTTGGTAAAGTAACATTACTAATTCCTGTTGAAAGGAAAATTGCCAAAAAGTGGATAATCTTACAGATTCTGATTTTATACCGGGTGGGGCACGAAAAACTTTCCACCCAGGTTTTCTCAGGTGTTACGTGTTTAATCAAAAATCGCTCAGACACGTCAATTTTTGTTTTTTGGGGGACACATTTTATTGGTATTTTTACCCCCTACCTGTGAACCTCTAAGTGGGGGTGACAGGTATCAGGTATCCACAAAATTTCAAATAAAAAGGGGGTCGAGTGATACGTCATTTGATAGCTATTTTCATTAAGATTATATCCCCGAAGTTTCAAGTTGCTACTATTTACCCTGTCGAAATGGCGGCTTGTCAAAGTTAGGAAAAATCAATGGAAAAATTCTATGTGGTTTTTACCTGTTACCTACGCATAGGTGTGACAGGTAAAAACTATACAGCTTAAATTATCGAAAAAAAGCATTTATCATAACTTTGACATGCCGCCAATCCGGCAGGGTTAATAGAAGCAACTTAAAACTTCGGGGTTATAATCTCAATGAAAATACCTATCAAATGACATATCACTCGACCCTTCTTTCCATTTGAAATTTTGGGGGTACCTGTTACCCCCACTTAGGGGTTCACGGGTAGGGGGAGAAAATACCAATAAAATGTGTCCCAACAAAAATTGACGTGTCTGAGCGATTTTTGATTAAACACCTAACACCTGAGAAAACCTGGGTGGAAAGTTTTTAGTGCCCCACCCGGTATAATAAATTATTGTTCAAATACAGGGTGTTTTATTATATATTGATACCCTACCTACACCTTTCACCTTTACAAGTAGATGAAAGGTGTAAATACAAAAGTTGTACAGTATTGGCTAAATTTTTAGAATACATCGTCAGAAACAAAAATTGAATGTCAGAAATGTGAAATGTTACATGCTTTCAGCTTTTTTCAAATGGGATGCCCTATATTTGGTTCTATATTCTTGAAGAGCACAATTTCCTGATTCCAAAACTATATAGTTTGTCTATATTTGGTTGAGCCGTTTCCAACATATTTGGTTCCAAAAATTTTAAAATTACTATCAGGGAAACCAAGAAGGTACCTCAAATTTTACCTGCAGCTTTCACCTGTATAGGAAGAATGGTTCACTATGGTTCACAAAATCAGTAGTAGGATAGTATTTTTACAATTTTTGGAGCCGAATATAAAGCCTGTTTTTTTTTTAAAGATAAAAGTCAAAATGACATTATGTTGGCAATACAAAATGTCAAATTGTCAATACTTCAAATTTTTTATGTAGAACATGCCAACATAGTTACTAAATTTTTGACTTGGGGAATTATCTTTAAAAAAAAAAACAGACTTTATGAGAGACTGTTCAATCAAATATAGACAAACTATATATTTTTGGAATCGGCGCAATGTGCTCTTCAAGAATATAGAATGAAATATGTATAGGGCATCTCATTTGAGAAAAGCTGAAAGCATGTAAAATTTCACATTTCTGACATTCAAATTTTGTGTTTACACCTTTCTTTTACCTATAAATGTAATGGCTGTAGGTGGGGTTTCAATATATAAAAAAACACCCTATACCTCTACCAATGCACAATGCGCTACTAAAACCTCGCCAAAACTACAGTGACTTTATTACCACAGTGGCGACAATTGCTGTCTTATTTTTGATTGGTTCTAAAATCCCATAGGTTTATATTGAAAACGCCGCCATCTTGTTCCCAACCTCTTGTTACTTTTAAATATGAATATATGGGATTTAGGTGAACATCCATCATAAATCATAGAAAACAACGTATTTGATGGACCTAATAATGGTTATCAAATACGTCGATCTCAATTTTTTATGATAGATGTCCATTTAAATCCTATATATTTATTATTTAAAAGTAACAAGAGTTTGGGAACAAGATGGCGGCGGGACCTCTATTGTCGCCACTGTATATAAAAGTTTATTTAGCCACTGTAGCCAAAACTACAGTGGCTAAATAAACCTTTACATACAGTGGCGACAATAGAGGTCCCGCCGCCATCTTGTTCCCAACCTCTTGTTACTTTTAAATATTGATATATAAGATTAAATGGACATCTATCATAAAAAATTGAAATCGACATATTTGATGACCATTATAAAATCTATCAAATACGTTGTTTTCCCTGTTTTATGATGGATATTCACCTAAATCCCATATATTCATATTTGAAATAAGCAATAGGTGGGAACAAGATGGCGGCGTTTTCAATATAAATATATGGGATTTTAGAACCAATCAAAAATAAGACAGCAATTGTCGCCACTGTGGGTAATAGAGTCACTGTAGCCAAAACTAACCCAAACTAACTAGGCATGGGATAGATTAACCGGTTATTCCGATAACCAGTTACCCAAACGTTTAGAAACCGGTTATTATTTCCCATCAGGTTTAACCTAATAACCGGATTCACTTAGCAATAACCAACATTACGATTATTCGGTTGATATTTTCCTTATAAACTATTGACTTATCTATCCCCAGTTATAGCAAGTAATTCAAATGCCAGTAGTCCCAAAAAATTCCCAATGGAATGCATTTTTTACTAAACCTTCATATTTATAATAAGAGATGGCGCGACCACGCGACAAAAAAAACACATTCCAACGAAGTGGAATTGAATTGAATTTTCCCAAAGTTATTTAAAGGAGGTGGAGGTAGCCATTGCCTGATAACTTTTATGACGTCATCTAAATGCCTAGACAGACATAATGCAAATCTCCATTAGATCGTTCTAATGACGTCATCTTTTTACCATTATTAGACTACCTATTAACTTTTGGAACCTTGCAATTTTCCATGTTTATTTTTGCAAAATAAAAAGAGAAAAAATAAAAAGTGCCCCCTTCGATGGATATAATTGGTTTGCGAGTTTGCGCATTTTTCTTTTTTTCTGTTTAATTATGTAAAATAGAAAGAGATAGTAGTAGTAGTAGTGGAGAAAGAGAAAATTATAACCGGTTATTGTGTTAACCGGTTATTTACTAAAGGTTAATCGTATAATACAAAAATAAACCGGTTAACCGATAACCGGTTATTTTCCAATATCCGCCCATGCCTAAAACTAACCCAATCTGGCTTACTTAACTTAAACTGCCCCCCTCCACCCTTCCCAAAAGGGATGGCCTGGCCCCCTGGCCCTGAAAAAGAAGTAAAAAGCTCCGAAAACTAGGCATTTGTGAAAAGAGAAAATAAACCTATTGCCTGACCGATTGCCAATTATTCACAACCATATTAAGGCCCAGTTGTACAATCTCGGTTCAAAACAAAGTTCAACTGAACTCGACTGGTACTTGAGCTTTCCCATTTAAAATACATTGCTGTCAGCTATTAATCAAATTCTATCAATTTTGACAGCAATGCATTTCAAATGGGGAAGTTCAAGTACCAGTCGAGTTTAGCTGAACTCTGCTTTGAACCAAGATTGTACAACTGGGCCTAATTATCAGCGGTCGTTATCCATAAGAATAAGATAATGAGCAGAAAATGTCAAAAAAAAAAAAACAATGAAAGTATAGTTAACCCAGGGTTAGCAAACTCTGCAAGTGATAAACCGGCCCTCAAGCGCCAGCTGATTTTGACGTAAAATTGTGGCGGGCAATTTTAAATTTGACAACGTCAACGAAGAACTAGCACAACAGAGACGTCAAGTTTTATTTATGTAAAATTTATAAATGTTTGTTTTTTCTGTTTTAAGATTAGAATAGGTGTTAATTTTTACCTGCAGGCAAGGGTAAGTGATTGACCATTATTTAAATCCTATTGTACACTGGTTTAGGTTTAATTCCCACTAAAAAAGACACCAATTTCAATGATTATTGAGGTTACAATAATAAAACTAGTTTGCTTGTTGTTAGAGGTCAAAGAAATGTTGTAAATTCATTCATTATTCACTGGTTGGTTAGACAGCTGATTGCCACAGTGGCGATGGAAAATCGTTGTTTATAGTCTTATGATTATTTATTGCTGATTAATTGTTATTGTTAAATAATGGTTGACCTTTGTTTTTAATAATTTTTGCACTTACCTGCTAAAATTTCAATGTCTATGTACTTCTAGAAGACCTTATGTTTGGTTTTAGACATTTTCTTGTTACAGAAATTCAGGAAAATCTCTTCCTGACCCACTTTCAAGCCTGCATTTTCAAGAATTTGAAATTGTAGGTGTAGCTTTCTCCACAAATGGTTTTGCTTTAGGTATAACTTCTTTGTTTTATTTGTTATATCCCTTGAAAGTAAGGTATTTTGAAATTGCATAGGTATATGAAATATTTTTAGTGAGTTTTGCTTGTCCACAATATTTATTATATTTTACCATTGTGAAATAATTTCTATTTATTATTAATATTATTGATATCTGTACGGCTCATAGATTTTATAAGTTTCTCATCAAGTTTATTAATTCGCAAAATTTTAAAGCCTGGCTTATTCATTGTCAGATAAACTATCTGCAAGATAAATTTACTGTTCCATAATCCTATTGGTCAGCGGATAACTGGCGAACCAATGGTATTACAGAATATAGATTGCGTTTTTATCTGTCAGATTTCATTACCGCCATTACTAACCTAACCTGACAGTTTATCACATGAGAAGGTGAATAAACCACCCCTTATCCTTGTTAACAAAAACGTTAGATTATGTCAATATCAATCTGATACCTATTAGAGAGATTTTGAGCCACATAAATTTTGAAATACGTTACACGCTAAACGATAAACTGAGCAAGTTGAAAGTAGGCGAACTACTCCTAAAAGCAAAAAGGTGGTGAAAAAAAAATCCTTTTAATACAATGTTAATTGCAACTTTTTATATGAGTTACAAAAAAAGTTGATTAGGGAAAATTGTAGGAAATGTCATCTTATAAAACTCTTATTAAGAAAATTTTTTTGTAAAAAAATAAAAAAACTTTAAACTACCCCTATTGAAAAACGGCAGGGGGTGAGTAAAAACTTCATAAAGCAAAAATGTTGTATGAGTTGTAGAAAATTTTTTCACGTTGGTTAAAATTTTTCATTTTCATTATAAAATTTCAAACGGCCCTTATGACCACAGACGGCCCTTAATCAAAAAAGTCTTTAGATAAATATTGTAGATCAAATAATGTTGCACATCTTTTATTTGAAACATTTTTTTGTAAAATCAATAGGTACCAAGTAATCGCCAATGGCCCACTTTCAACCCCTATAGCGCAAAACGCCAGAGGGGTGAATGTTTGATATTTCCGGTTTTATGATCACCCACCCGTCCCCTATCATCCCTGAAAAGTTCATTTGGGTAGGATTTTTTTTTTTGCAATACATGTATTTTTCGACTATTTTCCTAGACTAATACCCGGCCGATGTTTTCGAGGTTTTTGCCTCGAAAAGGATGGGAGACTCGCAAGATAATGAAACCGAATGGAATTTGGTAAACAAAAGGAAAAGAAACACTAACATTCCACAAAATGAAAATTCACAGAAAAAACCCAACAATGAAGCAGCCCCATCATCAACATCAACAATAACCAACAAACTCAAAAATGCATCGGAAAAAATGCGGACAATTTTCCAACAGAAATAGAATTCACTATTTTACTTCGACACTACACAAAAAATGAACCGCGCGGAGATTGCTGAATTGTGGGAAAATGCAATACCCAATAACCGAGATATAATCCTAGAAACCAAAATAGGATTGTTACTAAAGAGCAACACAACCAAAACTATTCTTCAAGAAACTTTGAAGAAGTGGAAGGATGAAAAACTAATAACTAACTATTCAGAAACTCAGCCATACAAGAGAGAGAGTAGCGAAAAGCAGCATCCAGTGTCTTCCTACTCCTGCATTATCTCTGGAGTTGAACAGAGCATTACATCCGAAAATCTATCCGAGCATCTTCAAACAACCCTTCCCCATAGATACTGTAAGCGAATCGTCTCTAGATCAACAAACTTACCAACTATGCTAATAAGAATAATAACTCCGGATGTGTCAACATATGAAAAACTATTAAATGAAGGCGTTTATTACAAATGCAGGCATTACGCAGTTTACCCAAGTGCACCTCCACAACCAGCCCCCATTCCTTGTAATCAATGCCTACATTTCACACACAAAACTGAAGAATGCACAGAACCTGTTGTCTGTACAAGATGTGGAGGACAACACAAAAGTACAAGATGCCAGTCCAATCTGCCTCCAAAATGTGTTGCATGTGGCTTAGAAGAACACCAAGCATGGTCATTTAAATGTCCAAAACGTCCAACAAAACCGATTGAAGGAATACCAAATATACAAATTAAATCTCTCAATAAAAAATCTAAAGACATTGCCGACACAGGGAAAAAATCCAGCAAAATACACTTGCCAGTCACCATTCATGACCATATAGTTAACACCTACGTACACAAATTGAATAAACCAAAATACGGTAACAGAAATGAACTTCTTGAGAAGCTGCGAAAGAGATTTATCGCTGAGTTCAATGTCGAAACCTCAGTGTCGTTCTTCAGTGGCAACAGAATGTATATCCTTATGTTCAACCACGAAGAAAATGGACCCTCCGCCACCGAACCCATCCACGGAGCTCAAAGAGAAATCAATGGCTAACATAAATATATTATTTAACAACGTAAATAGTTATTCGCCAAAGAGGTACTTGATAAATCATGTAATGGAACAGAACAACATCCATTGTGGCTTATTTCTGGAGACTAAAACAAAAGAAAATTCTAACATCATATATCAAAACTGGGATACAATACATACGGCAGGAAACATCGCAAACCAAAATGTGAGAGGAGGTTGCCTAGCACAAATAAATCCTTCTATTAAAGCAAAAAAGGCAAACCCACCAATTATCAACAATCCTCTCAATAACTGTATACATTTTTCAATACCATTCCAAGACAACAGACTCCACATTTTCCTAGTTTATATCCACCCAAATAGTTTAATAGTTCTGCAACATACATAAATATGCTATAATTGTGGGGACTTCAATCCCAAAAGTAAACATGGAAAACAAAAACAGTTAGATAATTTCTTGGAGAACACCGATTTTGTGCAATATAACACCCCTCCAACTTTTCTAATGCCTAACAATAATGATTCAACTCCTGACCTATTGTTATATACAGAAAATGTCAGAGATAATATAAAAAGGGTGGAGATAATATCGGACATCGGGTCAGATCATCAATCAATGGTTATTTCCCTAGACTTGGAGGCTCCTATAGTAGCAAACAAAAGCATCAAATACAACTTCAACAAAACAAATATAGACGAAGTTAATACTACCCTTAACCATCACTTGCGAGCCATAAGATCAGAACCTATCGCTGAACAATCAATAGATAACTTTATGGACACGCTACAAACTGCAATACTGGATAATACGCCAAAGTATCAACGTAAATTCTACGGGCATGTTCTTCCTCCATTTATAATTAAAATGATAAAAGTGAAAACAAAAATGTTCAGAGAATACTGTCAAAACAAAAGGCCGGAAATAAAAAGACACATAAACGAATACAACAAAAACATTCAAAATATGATCAAAGAATACAGAACAAGTAAATGGATTGAAGTTTGCGATAAAGTTAACGAACTAAAAGGAAGAAACTATTTCCAGAAAATCAAAAAATTGTCCAAATACAAGCCATCCTTCAACATACCCACTATCGATGATAACGGAGAGTCATTCAACACAGATCAAGAAAAAGCAGGTGTGTTCAAGCGTCACTTTGAAAAGGTTTTCGAGTACAAGACACATCAGGAGTTCAACAAAGACCAAGAAGCACTCATCAACAACTGGTATCAAGAATTCTTTACAGAAAACTCTTATGAAAACTATGCTGTCAATCAAGAAGACTACTTTAATATCTTAACTAAACAGAAAAATACCTCACCTGGTCATGATTCTATATCCTGGAATATTATCAAAAAGCCAAATTTAACTATACACAAACACATTATCAGGCTATTTGAATTCTGCTTGAGCAATAATCATTTTTTATTTATTTATTTATTTATTTATTTACGTATAAGAAAAATACATTTGAAGTTGAACAGAGTTTACATCTAAAAAAAAAAAAAAAAAATCTAACCTAAAACAATTCTCCTGGCCTTCGTCTTAAATTTATCCAGAGATAAACCAAAGAACTCAAGGCCCTCACAGAACTTATTTACATTGGCAGATATTCTATTCACAGGACTGAATAGTAGGTACCAGGTTCGACAGTAAGGAATGTGCAGTAAAGATTTACTTCGTGTCTGATAACTTTGAATGTGTAGATTAAAACATTCAAGACATTCGTGGCTTTTTATGTAGTAGTTAAGAATTTTAAATGCAAAACAGACATCAAAATATTCCCTTCTGCGAACAAGAGTAGATAAGTCTAAATAAGTCATAGTCAGGTCATCACTGAGAATTACACCACTCAAAGAAAGTTTGTACCTTGCAAACTTAATAAATTTGTGTTGAACACTCTCAAGCCTATTGATGTGGATCTGATAGAAAGGTGACCAAACTATGCATGAAAATTCAAGAACGGACCTGACCAGTGATGTGTAAAGAATTTTGATAGGGCGTATACTTGTAAAGTCCCTAGTAGCTCTCTTAATAAACCCCAACATTTTATTAGCCCTGCCAATTACCACTTCAAAATGCTCAGTGAACATTAGCCTAGTATCTAGATAGACACCAAGATCTTTAATGATAGAAACTTCAGACAAGCGAACATTGTTTAAGTAATACTGCAAGGGAACACTATGGGTGCGTCTACTGAATCTTATACAACAGCACTTATCGATGTTGAGGGACATGTAATTAAGCTGACACCAATCGTGAACGATGTTAAGATCATTTTGCAAAATAAGTATGTCTTGAGTTGACGTCACCTGACGATACAACTTCAAGTCATCAGCAAAAAGTAAAAAATTTGACGAGAGC